CTTTGGGCTTTTCTTTTCTAGTTCCTTTAGATGTAAGTTTAGGTGGTTTATTTTATACTTTTCTTGTTTCTTGAGGTAGGTCTGCATTGCTATGAATTTCCCTTTTAAAACTGCTTTTGCTATGTCCAAGGATTTTTGGATTATTGTGTTTCTATTGGCATTTGTCTAAGATATTTTTTATTTCCTCCTTGATTTTATTAAGTCATTGTTTGCTAGCATGTTATCATCCATTTGGGTTTTTTCCAGTTTCTTTTGTAATTGATTTCAAGTTTTATACAGTAATGATCAAAGAAGATGCTTGACATGATTTCAATTTTTTAATAAATTTTGAGACTTGTTTTGTTGCTGAATATATGGTCTATCCTGGAAAATATTCCATGTGCACTTGAACAGAATGTGTGTTCCAGTGATATTTGGGGGGGGGGGTAGAATGTTCTGTAAGTATCTATTAAGTAGACCTGATTTAATGTGTTATTTAAAGCCGTAGTGTCCCTGTTGATTTTGTCTGGATGATCTATTGATGAAAGTGGGTTGTAAAGTCCCCTATTACTGTAATACTGTCAATCTCTTTCTTTCAGTTCTTCTTTGGGAGAACTGCTCCAACTATAGGTGAAAATTTCATGTGTATGTGGAAGTGAGTTTGAGGTCTTCCTACGCCACCACCTTGAACTGAAAATCTGGAAATATTTCTTTGTAGATGTTTTCTGATGCAAATTAAGATGAGGTCATAATGAAGAAGGGTGGGCCCTTAACCTAACGGGAATGTTTCCTTATAAGAGACAGGCACACAGAAGGGAAACCCATGTGAGGACAGGCACACGGAGAAGGGAAGGCCAGATGACAATGGTGGCAGGTGATGCAGCGACAGTCCCAGGAAAGCCACGGGCTGCTGGCAACACCAGAAGCTGAGAGGGAGCACGGCCCTGACAAGACCTTGTTTTTAAACTTCTAGCTTTAAGAACTGTGAGAGTACATTTCTGTTGTTTTAACTCACTTAGTTTGTGGCAGTTTCTACAGTAGCCCTAGGAAACTAATGTACCCCCCTTGCCCATGACTATATATAATACTATCTATCGAGCCCTTAACACATGCTGGGCAATGTGCTTGACATGTACTATCTCCTTTGATCCTCAAAGAAATTTACTTATATTTTATTTTTCAAATCTTAGCATTCCAAAGAAGCTTAGTAATTAGCCCAACATCACAGGGCTGGGGTGTAAGAGGGTGGGGCTTGTATCTGAATGTTGCCTTAGTGCCTTCAAACTTCTGCCAATGAGAAAATGAATCTCTTGAACCGATGAAGGGGGCGGGGAGGGGGCCTCATGGCGAGGTCTTGCCTGACCAGAAATCTTCATCTGCTCAACACAGGACCTCCTCTTGTCAGGTTAGTTCAATACCCCCACGGGACTGAAAGAGGCTCAACCAAGCTGGGGGGCCTGCCTGACCTTGGGAACCATGAGATCACGAGCCCCGATTTTTAGCAGTCCTCGGGAGTCCTGGAAACATGCCAAGTCCTGGGATCCTCCTGTTGGAGAGCAGGGGACTGGAAGGAAGAGTGGAGGAATGGGGTGGTTAATATTGGGAGGCTTATGTTTAGCAGCTCCTTTAGACAATGGCTCTGAGGCCAACACCGTGGCAGGGCTGAATTACGTCAGTTCTCATTATTGTAAAACAATGAGGGCTTCTTGTGTTCCTCAGCCAGCTGGATCCCAGCCAAGCTGTACACAATGCTTACAATTAGGGGTCACTTGGAGAAAAGATCTCAATTTGCCTCTGCCTTTTCAACAGGAAGCAGACCTGGGCATTTAAAGGGATAGCTATAAGCATGTTTTCCTGCTGCCAGGTGTGCTTGGATTGAAAAGATAACATTTTTGCTGTACAAGAAAGTTGAAAAACAATTTTCAAGATTGTTGGCAAAAAAGTTTCTGTGAGGCTTTGGCTTTTTGGAGGTCAGGGACTGTCGTACTCATTTTGGTAGCCTAAGTTTTTAATATTTGAGAACATATGTTATTATCAGTGATACTTGCTAAATAAATTAATGGGCAGTATGTTATTCACCTGAAAAAATATTCTCCTAGAGAAAGCCAGCTGTCTCAAATGGTCATTGGTGTCAACTTTGGGTCTAAGTATTGTCTCTATTATTATTTTTCTTATCATCTTTACCCTTTACTTGCCAAATTAAACAAAAACCCAGGAAGAGTGTGCATAAGGATTTTACTTGGAGTTTTTAATCATTATAAATGTTCTATGTATAACATAGCTAATAATTAGATGTTTTCTTTCTTAGCCCAGGTACATAAAAAGGGTTTTTGTAGTCCCAACTATGGAAATGATTTAGATTTTAAGTCATTAACAATTTAGATGGCACCTACAGGAAGTATAAAGGCTTGGAGAGCGAACCTTTCATGAATTCATGTCTGATCTTACAAGATGAACACAGGGGCTTGTTTACTGTGATGGCTGGAGGGCTAACAAGAATCTGGGCATCGAATGACTCATTTCCCAAGAGTTTTAGAGGGCAGAGCAGTCAGGGTGGGTGGATGGCTTTTAACCTGAGAAATTTCTCACGGCTGCTACTTCAGGTTGTTTCTCCGTGAGTCAGCATGGCTCTGCCTCTAAGAGAAGCTAATAATTAATTTTCAGGTTGTTTCTCCGTGAGTCAGCATGGCTCTGCCTCTAAGAGAAGCTAATAATTAATTTTTGTGCCCTGGTAATTGTTGGTCAGTGAAATTCATTGCTATTTACATCCACTGCCAGCCAACTCTATCTAATTGCCAGCTCTTCCATGTTTTAATTCAAGATAAAAAATTTCAGGGATGCATTTAACCCAGTTTTGATTATTGAAGATATTATCCAGCAGACAGTTAACTGATTTTAAAATAAGTGATTATTACCAGGCCTGTTCCACCATGACTGTGCTGCTACTTCAGCCATATAAATAGAATCAATACATAGGATTCTACTGCCTCAATATTTTATTTTTAAATACATTTACTGAGGTAACGTTGGTTAATAATGTGTTTCAGCTACACATCTTCATAATATGACGTCTGTACACTCTATAGTGTGTCTAACAACCAAAGTCTAGCCTTCTTTTCTCACTATATATTCTCCCCTTCACTTCTGAAAACTACCATTCCACCGTCTGTATCTATGAGCTTTTTTGTTTTCTGTTTGTTGCTTTGTGAAATCACTCAGGTCTTGCCATTTTTCCAATCTGACTTATTTCACTTAGATTAATACTCTCCAGATCCATCCAAGTTGTGGAATGGCAATATTTCACCATTTTACAGCTCAGTAGTATTCCATTGTATATACATACCACGTTCTTCTTATTTTTTATCCAGTCCTCTGTCAAAGGACACTCTTTTTGTTTCCACGTCTTGGCTACTGTAAATAATGCTGCGGTGAATATAGGGGTGAATACAGTGAACACTTTATGAATAAGTGTTTTCAAAATTTTCTGAAAGAGGGATTGTTGAGTCATATGATACCCCTAGTTTTAATTTTTGTTGAGAAACCTCCATACTGGTTTTACCAAATTACGTTCGCACCAGGTATGTATGAGGTTCCATTTTCCCGCATTTTTTCCAACACTTATTTCTTGTCTGCCATTCTAACAAATATAACGTAGTATCTCATTGTGGTTATAAATTTCATTTCCCTTATAGCTAGTGATGTTAACCATCTTTTCACATATCTGTTGGCCATCTCTATGTCTTCCTTGGATAAGTTTCTATTCACATCTTCTACACATTTTTAATTGGATTTTTTCTGGTTGCTGAGTTGTACGAGTTCTTTATATATTTTGGATCTGTTGATCTAGCACTGTTATCTTAGGGTCTGCAGCAATAGTCTCTGAGGTGTAAATGCAAATTTTCAAGGGACTCATTAAGAAAAAAGCCCCTGAGAAGACCATTAAGGGAGTGGGGGAAGCAAGACAGCAGAGAGAGCAAGCACTGCCAGGCTGCCAACTACGGCACAGTCCAGGCTTCAGCCCGGCCCCCCAGGGGAGCTCCAGGGTGTAAGTTATATCTTATTGGAAGTATCATTGACAAATTTCTCCCATTTGTTTGGTTGCTTTTTTGTTTTGTTGATGGTTTCTTTTGCTGTATAGAAGCTTTTTAGTTTGATACAGTCCCATTCATTTATTTTTGCTTTTACTTCCCTTGCCTTTGAGGTCAAGTTTGCAAAAACCCCTTGAGATTAAAGTCCATAAGTTTAGTGCCGATGTTTTCTTCTATGTATTTTATTTGATTAGATCTTATATTCTAGTCTTTAATACATTTTGAGTTCATTTTTGTGTATGTTGTCAGGTAGAAGTCTAATTTTATTCTTTTGCATATGAGAATGGCAGTGAGTTTCCAGCTTTCCCAGCACCATTTACTGAGAGACTTTCCTTTATCCACTATAGGATTTTTGGCTCCTCTGTTGAGTATTAGTTACCCATGTATGTGTGCATTTATTTCAGGGCTCTCAATTCTGTTCCATTAGTTTGCATGTGTGTTTTTTTTTCTATCAATACCAAGCTGTTTTGATTACTGCAGTTTTATAGTATGGTTTGAAGTCAAGGCATTCGAGACCTCTGGCTTTGTTCTTTTTTATTCTGAGGATATCTTTGGCTACACAGGGGTTTTGTGGTTCTGTACAAATTTGAGAATTTTTTGCTTTTATTTCTGTAAAAAATGCCACTAGGATTTTGATAGAAATTACATTAAATTTGAATATTGCTCAGGGTATTATGAGCATTTTAACAGTATTAATTCTACAAATTCATGAGCATTGAGTATCTTTCCATTTCTTTATATCTTGTTTGATTTCTTTTGATTTCTTATAGTTTTCAGTGTATAGGTCCACTTTCTTTGTTAATTTTGTCCCAAAAGGAAAACTGAGGCTCAGAAGTCTAATAACTTGCCAAAGTCACACAGGCAGAAAGGGGTTTCTATGAGATGCAAACCCTTGCTATGTGATTCTAAAGCCAGATTCTTTCCACCTCTGAGGAGTTACAGCACATGAAAAGTGGAAAGGAGACCTGACCTGGCGTTCTGGCTCAGACATCACCCCCCTGTGTAACCACAAACATGCCACGGAACCTCTCCAGGCTGCATCTAAGCAAACCTCCAATGACAAAGGTAACCATGTAGCATTTCAATAGGGATGCTTTTAGAAAGTGAGTGCTGACTGTAACAGTAGACAAATCATGTTTCACCATTCAGATCTCCCTCCTTGGATTTTTTGGTCCATGTCTATGTGTCTTCTTACCCCCACATAAAGTCCCAGTGTCCCCATTCTTTTGCCTCTAATACCCAGAGACTCTAGCCCATTCGGAGGACTCCCCACAGCCTACTGAAGCTGCTCTGTTTCTGCACACAAAGAGCCTTAAGGTCCGTAAAGTCACTTCCCTGGGGTACTCGTTGGCCAATGCCTGAAGAGCCCAGCTCCTCGGCTTCAGAAGCAGAGAGCTGAGACATAACTTACACCCTGGAGCTCCCCTGGGGGGCCAGGCTGAAGCCTGGCTGTGCTTGCTCTCTCTGCTGTCTCGCTTCCTCCATTCCCCTGATGGTTTTCTAAAGAGGTTTTTCTTAATGAGTCCCTTGCACACACATTTGCTTCTCAGTCTGTTTCTGTGTGCTAGACTGACAGTGTGCTAGACTGACAGGAAGGGCCATTCAGTACTTGACTGAGAAGGGCCAGTGTGTCTCTGAAAAGGCTTTGAGAAGTGATTCTCATCTGTGGGCGATGACGTCAGTGTGAACTCACTTTTGGAAAACTAGGAGAATCAGAGTCAAACCTCACCAGGCCAGGCAGTTTCCTCCCAGGGGCACTGGCTGGCCCCTCCAGCATTAAGACTCCTGGCTCAGTAAAGGGGACTGACTAAAACTACCCAGAAATTGCGTCTCACAGGACCACCTATTTGTGAAAAGCTGCCCTCGCCCCTGCGCGAAGCCATTCACTCACCAGCACTCTTCCCGCAGGCCGGCTGGTTGCATTTTTGGAATTCGGGAGGTCTGGGTTCATGATCACACAGGCATTGGTCTTGACCTTCAGTTTTATTGTCTTCCGAGGAAACACAGAGGACAGTCCTCTTCTGAAAGCCACCTCCACAGGAAGCGGTGCACTGGAAGAGAGGGGCGCACGGAGGAAGTCAGAATTCTTCCCCAGACTCAGCCGGGAACTCCTACAGAACGCCTCTCATTCACTGTGGTCAAGTAAGGAAACGTCTCGACCAGCAACCTTGTCGGAGTCACAGAATAAAGGCACTGATCATTTGGAGATGTGAATTTAGGCAGAGTCTATGTTACAGATTGTGTGGACTCAAGTTGTTTAATTTACTGTTGGGTTCTCTGCAGAACATGTACAGAGGTTGAATTACAAGTAAAATGAGAAAAAAAATCCTATCTGGACCCTGGTACTTTGGTAATGCGGTTTCTCTGAGCTAGTTTTGATTTGGGGCTAGAAAGCAAATGTGAGGAAGGGAACAGAGCTCCAAAGAAAGAGTAAGATAAAAAGGGAAGTGGGGAGGCAAACCCTGGGGGAACAGAGAAAATGTGGATGGACCTAGTGGGACCGTGTGGTCTCCAGTCATCGTAACAGACAAGGTCAGGTCGCAATGTGGCCGCCTGCAAGCAGCTGGTCTGTGAAGGCAGCTCGGACAAGATGATTCCTGGAGATGCAGGAAAATGTGTCTGAATGTACCATGTGTGTGCATTTTGGTAAAATATATAAAACATAAAATTTGCCATTGAACCACTTTAAAGTATGCAGCTCAGTGCCTTCAGCACGTCCACGTTCCTGTGCCATATTACCAACATCCACCTCCATGTTTTCATCTTCACTGACGGGAACTCTGTGCCCAGTAAATAATAATGTCTCCTCTCCCACCCACCCAGCCCTGGCCCCAGAGCCTGGAAAGCACCATCCTATTTTTTGTCTCTATGAATCTGACCTCTGCAGGTACCTCAAGTAAGTGGAATCATGCAATATTTGTCCTTTTGTGACTTGATTACTTCAACAGGCATAATGTTCAAGGTTTTTCCATGTTATAATGTGTGCACCACATTTTGTTTATCCATCCATTGATGGACACACGGGTAGCTTCCACCTTTTGGCTGTTGTAAACCACGTATACTCTTGTGATTTGCATTCTATTTCAAGTATTATTAATTTTAGCATCATATTTCTTATACAATCTCCCAGAGGGCAGAAAGCAGCTCCTCTTTTATTGTCCTGCATGGAAATTGGGTAAGACTTAAACACGACCTGGCATTCAATAAATCCTCATTGATTGCTTGGCCAAAAAACCCCTGCTGCATGGCAAATTCTGGAAAAATCGATAGGCCCAAATCATAGCAAGCATATTTTCCAACCACAACTATACGAAACGAGAAATTAACTTCAAGAATAAAGCTGGAAAACCACACATATGGAGATCAAACAGCATGCTACTGAACAACTATTTTGTCAAAGAAATAAGATCAGAAGACTCATAGATCCAAATAAAAATATAAATACAACACACCAAAGTTTTTTGGATATAGTGTAAGGGGTAATAAGAGGAAAGTTAAAAGCATTACAGGCCTGCCTCAGGAAACAAGAAAGATCCAAATAATCTAATATCGCACCTAAGGAACTGCAAAAAGAAGAACAAATGAAGCCCAAAGTCAGCAGAATAAATGAAATAGAGAACCCAAAAAGAGAAAAAGAAAACAGTTGGTTTTTTGAAATAATTAAACTGAACCCCTGGCTAGGCATACTAAGGAGAGGAGAGAGAACAAACACTCAAATAAAATCAGAAATGAAAGAGAAGCTAGAAGGGACACTGCAGGAGTAAAAAGGTTTATAGCAGAAAACTATAAAAGGCTTTATTCTACCACATTTGATGACACAGAAGAAAAGGACAACTTTTAGAAATATACAACCTTCCTACAGTGAATTATGAAGAAGTTGAAAACCTAAAAAGACTGGTCACTAGTAAAGATATTAAAAGAGTAGTCAGAGTCCTCCCAAAAACCCCCCTTCAGTCTAGGACCAGATGGCTTCACTGGTGAATTCTAACAAACACCCAGAGAAAGTTCAATACCAGTCCCTATTAACCTCTTCCAAAATTTTGAAAAAGAGAGAATATTTGCAACTCAATTTTCAAGGCCAATATTATTCTGGTACCAAAACCACACAGAGACAACACACCCAAAAGAAAATTACAGGTAGCCAATATCTGATAAACACAGACACAAAATTCTAAGTGAAATACTAGCGAATCAAATACAACAACACATTAAAAGGATCACATATGGGGTTCACAAATGCAAGAATGGTGTGATGTGCACAAATCAGTGTGATACACCATGTTAAAAAAACAAAGACGATCATATCAATAGATGCATAGAAAGCATTTGATATGACACAATATCCACTTATGACACAATATCCACTTAAGGTAAAAATGCTCAATAATATGAATATTAAAAGTATCTCAACAGAATAAAGTCTATATATGACAGGTCCTTGGCTAACACCGTCCTTGATGGTGTAAAACAGAAAGAAGACAAGGATGCTGCTCTCAACAGTTATTCAATATTGTACGGAAGTCCTAGCTAGAGAAATTAGTCAAGAAAAAGAAATAAAGGCATTCAAATTGGGAATGAAAAAGTAGAACTGTCAGTATGTGCAGATGGCATAATTCTATATATAGAAAACCCTAAAGGCTCCACACCAAAAAAAAACCTATTAGAAATAATGAGCAAATACAGTAAAGTTGCAGGAAGCAAAATCAATATACAAAAACTTGTGTTTCTATATATTAATAAAATATCAAAGACAAATGAAGAAAGCAATCCCATTTATAATCGTACAGACTAAAATATCTAGGAATAAAGTTAATAAAGGAGATGAAGAAACTGTACACTAAAAACTATGACATAGTTAAGAGAAATTAAATAAGACACTGAAAAATGGAAAAATCTTCTGTGCTCATTGATTGGAAGAATTAATATGGTTAAAATTGCCATAGTACCTAAAGCAACATAAAGATTTAATAAAGTCACTATCAAAATTCCAATGGGATTTTTCGCAGAAATAAAACAAGGATTCTCAAATTTGTATGAGCCACAAAAGACTCTCAATGGCCAAAACAATCCTGAGAAAAAAAGAACAAAGCCAGAGGTTTCACATTCCCTGATTTCAAACTGTACTACCAAGCTACAGTAATAAAAACAGTATGGTGTTGACAGAAAAACAGACACAGACTGATGAAACAGAATTGAGAACTCCGTAATAAACTCACATTTATGTAGGCAACTAATTTTTGACAAAGGAGCCAAAAACACACAATAGGGAAAGTAAATAAACGATAAATAAACGATGCTGGGAAAACTAGAAAGTTACACGAAAAAGAAAGGAACGAGACTGCTATTGGACACCACACACAAAAGTTCATTCAAAATGGATTCAAGACTTGAACCAATCAAATACACAAAAGAAAACATAGGAGCAAAACTTATGAACCTGTATCTCGAGGGGTTTTTGTGAACTCAATCCTAAAGGAAAGGACAAGTAAAAGCGAAAATGAATGGAATTATGTCAAACTAAAAAGCTTCTGCATAGCAGAAGAAACCATTAACGAAGCAGCAAAAAAGCAACCAAATTGACAAAGGTATTTGGAAATGACACTTCCAATAAAGAGCTAATACCCAAAATATATAAAAAACTCATATCTCAACAACAAAAAAATATTATTAAAAATGGGCAGAGGACCCGAATAGACACTTATCCAAGCAATACATACCGATGGCCAACAGACAGGTGAAAAGATGGTTAACATCACTAGCTACAAGGGAAATGCAAATCCAAGTCACAATGAGATACAACCTCACACCTGTTAGGATGGCTATTATCAATAAGACAAGTGCTGGAGAGGACATGAGGAAAGGGAACCCTGGTGCACTGTAAATCAGTGCGACATCTATGGAGAACAATAAGGGAGCACCTCAATCAATTAATAATAGAGCTACCATAGGACTTGGCAGTCCCTCTTCTTGCTACTTATCTAAGAAATCTGAAAATACTTATTCATAGATCCATGCACCCCTACGTTCATTGCAGAACTATTTACGATACCCAAGATGTGGAAACAACCTCAGGTCCTTCGACAGAGTACTGGGAAAGACGATGGGGTGCACACATACGGTGGAGGGCTGCTCAGCCCAAATGCAAGGCAATACTGCCGTTTGCAACAACATGGATGGAGCTGAGGATGTGCTAAGTTGGTTAGATGGAAAAGGACAAGGACTGTATGAGTTCGTTTAGGTGCTGGATATGAACTGAAAGTAACAAACAAAAAAACCAACTATAGGTACAGACAACAGAGGTTATCAGAGGGAAGGGGGGTGGGGGAAAGACAAAGGGGGTAGAGGGTGACGGAAGGAGACTGCACTTCGGGTGGGGTGTCCACAATAGAGCGTACAAATGTCATAAAATTGTACCCCTGAAACTCATTTAAAGTTCTTAGCCAATATTACTCCAATACATTTAATAAAAAAAGAAAAAGAATATGTTCCAGGCAAAATAAGCCCACATGTAGGAGAAGAATGATTGATAAAAACAACAATATAGTAAAAACCAAAAGAAAGCATAGTACATGCGAGTATTTGAACTATTCACAGGAGTGCAGGGCACCTATAGAGCTATGAACGATGAAAAGTGCTAAGAGAAATACAGTGACCTCTGAATCTGGCAAAATACTACACTGGCCTTTGCTATAATTATAACCATCAAAATACACTTACATAAGAACAAGTTACATTCAAAACTATTTACAGCTGAGGGGTCAGTATATCGGGGCCTCCAGGCTCCCTCTTCCCCAGCTGGGCCCTTGACCTTCCCCAGCTAAGACGGTAACCAGCTCCATGGAAGCACAGCCCACTGGGCTGTACCTCATGCCCAGTGGTGTGCCTCTCACCTCCCAACTGGGCTTTCTTGTTGCCAGTGAGACCTGAGAACGGTACCACCTGCCCATACGTGACTAACCCCGGATGACGGAGGGCACTAGCCATCTGAGGGGCAGCCAGTGCTGGGAGACAGAAGCCAGTAGACTTCTCTCTTCCTGCCCCTGGACAAACTGCCCCAAGAAGCAGTGGTTCATGCAACTTTTATTGACATAAGACCTTTCTAGGGTGAGTAACCAATTGCCCCTGCTACCAAAAACAGCCAGACTGGTAATGCACCATCGTGTGTCTGATCCCCCCTCCCTGCCTGCTCCCCACGCCCCATTTTTTAATCACAACTGCTTCCCTGTGTTGTATTTCCTAATAAAGTGATCGATTTTGCCTCAGGTTTTGATTTTCTAGAGTATCCAGGATAAGGCAAGTTATAGTGATGGCTGAATCTGTCATGCAATAATTTTATTAAACTGGTAGTTTTATTTATATAATAAATAAACTCTGAATAATAAATCTTTCCCCCATCTGTACTTTAATTATTTTACTTGTCTCTCCATCAGACTGTTCACCTGTCTAATTAATCTGTGGACGACGAGAGACCTGGGACTTGCTAAGTCGGGCTTGGCCTCAAACTTGAGGGCACTTGCGATTCCCATTTCCTTTAAGTCAGAGCAAATGGGAATCGCAGTCAGAGACGCTAAGATGTTCTGGCCCCAAACTGCCTTCCCTTAGGCTTTGCACCTCTGGGAAAATTCTGGTAGTCAATCTTTTATCTTTTGAAAGTCTCTGATCTTTTTCTCTTCTGAACCCAAGACAGTGAACACTGACCACCATGTCAACCAGGAGTGGACTTGAGCAGATGCAGAGGTCTATCTGACTGCGGAAGAAAACGAACTAGCAATAGACAGAAACGCCCTGTGAATCCATGGACATGCTGAATGCTTTCAGTGACTATACACATTACTTTTGAAATCAAAACGAAACATGCTTTTTTAAAAAACCAAGTTGAAGAGCACATAGCTGACTCTTACCTGGTCCCAGGGCCCAGTGGCCCAGTGGCAGCAGGGATGCCTGTTGCAGGCTGCAGTGGACACGGGCCTCTTCGCCGGGTCACAGAGGCCTCTCGGACAGGCCACCGCCCTCTCCTGCACTCCGCCCCCACAGGACCTGGAGCACTGGCATAGGACAAGGACAGGGACGAGGTTAGGGAAAAACCACAGGGTGACGTCTGCAGTGATGAGGGAAGAGTTCTGTCGGCACCATGTCTGTGGTGCCCAGCGTTACTAAGGGCGTTAGCATCTGCCCTGGAACCTGCGGCAGCTGTGACGGCTCCCTTACAGTAGCCACTCAGCCGTCTCAGACGACGGTGGGGAAACAGAATAAAGAGGAGGGAGATGGACAATGGACATTCTTAGGACAGGAGCAGGAGAAAAGAGCAGAAGATACCAAATAGTTCAACGTCAAATAATAGGTCAAATAGAAGGAATTCTGGTAAAAAATCTAAATGAGTCGTCATCCCAGAATGGACATGGTTACCTGCCTTTTGCCTTCTGGCACCGGAGTCTAGAGACCAAAGTGTAAAGTGCAGACTTTTTTACGATTAGTTCGGACAGCTGAAATGGGGAGTGTGCGCGCATCTGTAGTACGATTTTGTTAGTTTCCTGTTAAAATGAGACTCGGTCTTCCTTTCCCACCACAGAAAGCTGAGAATTAAACGGTCTGTATTGAGAGTGGGGAACTGGTAGGTTTGCCCAGGTTCCGAAGCACTGGCCTCAGAGCTCACAAAATCAACCTGAAATGAGAAGTCAGGCTCCCGATCGCTCAGATGTGTCAGGTGTTCGCTCACCAAAATAACGTTTAGGATACATTCTCTCCTCTTCCTGAAGTTTCTAGGAGGAAATGAAATAATTCAGCAGAAGTCTTTGAAAAACCTCAGTACTTTGAACAGTCTTAATTAGGGCAAGGTAACAACCACTACCACAAAACAACTATGTTGTCAACACCTTGCCCATCACATCGGGTACCACAGAAGTGGAAACGATGCACAATTAACCCTTTACGCTCGATAAAAAACTAACCTGTTGCTTTCCCAACATTCCAACTTTGAGAATCAATTGGACTGTCTTCCCATGTATTCACTCTGTTTTTAATTATATGAGGACAGGAGAGGAATCCCACATTGGGACCCTCGTGTAAACCTACACACGAGCATATAGATTCGGGATGCCCTGGTGAGTCCTCTCCAGGAAAAAGGGACGAAGAAGACATAAACCAGTGGTCCTTGAAGAGTGGTCCCCAGACCAGAAGTTCCAGCAGCTTCTGGATACTTGTTAGAAATGCAAAATTTAAAGCCCCATCCCAGGCTCCTGGAACAGGAGACTGTAGGAGTGGGACCCAGACAACTGTGTGGTAACACACCCTCCAGGTGATTCTGAGGCATGAAAGTCTGAGACCCGCCATGGAGAGCCCATGGCTGAGAGGCATCTTTCACACAGCAGCCTGGGCTGGCTCCATTCACTGCAGGGGCCTGGGGCATCGCCATGGGGCACGAGACGCTGTGTACACAGAGCAGCATCATGGTGGCATCACGTTAGTGCCCCGACAGCTGCCAGGACAAACCCAACTGGCTTTTGCATTTTCCGTCTCCACTGCTTGGAGGCTCAAAGGAAAGACTTCCAACTTTGTGGTTTGCTCAGAACAGAGAAGTTTACAAAGGAGGGTTGTAGGATGCCTTCCAGGAACAGTGTTCCAGGAGCAGGCTTGTGACTGGGGCTTGCAGGAGCTGCTGAGGAAGTATAAAGGATACCTCCTTTTCACATTCATGATGGCTCATCTGTGAGAACCCACAAATGCCATCTCTCTGACAAGGCAGTCCAAGCTCCTCTGCAAATGCCGGGCTTCTGGAAGCCATCATCAGGCTCAGTGAACGCGAGTGCTGGGAGGCCTATGCCCAGAGCAGGGGATAGCAGGCACTTCCTGTTCTCCAGAGCTGGGCAGGGAGCAGGAGAAAGAGGGGGCAGGGGTGGCTGCTGCCCCAGAAAACACCAGGTATTGGCCCAGAGGCTGAGAGATCGGCGTGGCTGTGTGACCCAGTAGACAGTCGGTAGCTTTAGGGGACTCAGTCTTCCACAGTGTGACCCGAACTCCGCACCCTACAGTTGTGCCGCTCTGCCTTCCCTTCCTTGGCCCCTGGTAGCTCTGTCCAACATTGTTCTTCATTTACTCTGGTTCCTCAGCCCACACTCTGCTCAGTGCCCACTGGGCTAAGGTCTGCAGTAGAAAGAGTAGAGGCACTGGAGCCTGCCTTAGGCCTGAACTAGTCCTCCACCAGTTTACTTTCTGGCTGTGTGAGCTCGTGTAAGTCTCAGTCTGCGCCCTAAAAGGGAATCAATGAAGCCTCCAGTCCAGGCTGCTGTGAGAGTTAGACCAGGTCCTGCAGGTAAAACGCCCAGCTCACGGACACCCACAGAACAGGCTGGGCTCTTTTGTTCTCTTTTTCCCACCATGCATGATATATTTGGGGCCAGTATTTTTATCTACTGAGATATTTGCCTATGGGCAAGTTAGATCCTCACTCTTCTAACCAAAGAATGGTGACCTTGTTTTCACATGCTGGAGTAGGGTGAAGAGCCAGCAGGCTGTGGGCCCTCACGAAACAGAGGACGCGGACTCGAACAGACAGACACACACCCACACGCTTTTTATTTGTGCAATGGTCTGGGCATTTAACCGAGAGGCAGAACCTGTACTAGAACGAGTGTGGAGAGGATCTGTTTCCCCAGGCAGATCATGAAGCCTAGAAGAGGCATGGGAGGCCCTGTCTCTTTAAGGTAAACTACTCTCATCAAGGTGGTCCATGTACATCTCCCCAGCAGGGACCCCAGCTCCCCGGGGAGACTTGGTTCTAATGAAAATGCTGACTTGTCCCAGTGAAAACCACAGGACATAGTCTTCAAGTTGTTGGCCGGGTCAGTCTCCCCCTCACTGTGCTGGGTCCCTGAGTGGAGGCCAGTCATTGGCAGGACACGGGCGAGTCTCCCCTGACTTGCCTGGTGACACACAGACACGCCCGCAGGCCTGGCTGTGCAGGAGGTGCACCTTGGGCTGTACCTGGCTCCAGGGCTCCACCCACCAGTCTTTACAGGTCTCCAGATTACAGCTCTTGCTCAGCAGGGGAGTAAGGCCGGCCAGGGGCTGACAGTGGAACCGCCTCAGGCTCTGATGGTCCCAGCTGTCCTCGCACTGCACCTCCTGGACCTGGAGGCCACCGCTGCAGTCCCCGGAGCACCGTGTAGGGAGCGAGAGGGAAGGGGTGACCTGACTCCCCAGGAGTTCCGCAAAGCCCAGGGACTTGCAGTTACGAGGAGTCTTAGCTCTGTCAAGGGAGGTGTTCTCCCTCACATGCTGCAGAGAAGGGGTCGCTCAAGCTGCTCCCAGAGACCAGGCTCCCGAGTGTCAAAAATGCAGGCGTGGGAGGGTGAGGGTCGGCTGTCTGATGGATCCAGGTGGATGTCCCGTTCACTCACTGGTCACGAGCACTTGAGCAAGTCGCAGACACATTCTGAGCCTCAGATGTCTTGTCGGTAAAGTACGGTCACAACTGCTACCTCCCGGGGCTGTCCTGCGGACTACAGACCCTGGGGTTGGGTCCCTGCTGGCACAGTGTCTGTCTCAGTGGGCAGCGGTTCCCTCTCATGTCTGTGTGCATTCCAGGTGACCAGCCTGCCCAAAGGGGGCCTCTCTGCCAAGTCACATCTACGTCCCCCTCTGCCACAAACCTGCTTCCGTGACTCCTAATACAAGACAGGGCTACGCTTTCTCAAGTGAAGGGTCTGCTGAGAAACAAACCGAGTAAGTGCTCAGGGGTTTGACTCAGCAGACTGAGCAAACCCTGTCCTTACCCCACCCCAGCCTCCCTGCCACAGGTGCCACCACAGCTTTCTCAGCACATGCCCCTGAAAGCTGCAACAGAGGCCCTGCCCCCCTCAGTCCCCCTCTGCCAGGTGCCCGTCTTGGGGTAGCAGCCCCTTCATTGCGCTCTGTCTCAGTAAAGGGTGTGGTCCAGCAGGCTGCTTACTTCCTTCGGGTCCATGGTAAACATGGACAAGCCACAGTCCCTAAAATCAAAGTTCACGTGGCCTACTCCGGACTACTTCTCCTGTGAGCTGTCTGCCCCCTTCGACTTTGGAAGTGACTTCATCCCCCACCTAGTTAAATTTTGTCTGATCATCACTTGAGCCTCTAAGACTTGGTCTCCAGTCTGAAATGTTACCACCTGCCGAAGCCCTTCAGCTTGTCCTGCTGCTGCATCCTCATCTCTCCTGGCCAGTCCTGGCCTGTCTGGTCACTGCCCGCACTCAGATGGGGACCTGAGGGAGGTGAGGTGGACGCAGACCCCTGTGCTTCTGAGTTAAGTCCTGAATGTCCCTCCTTCTCATTACCCACCAGCCACTGCTCTCCCTTTAGGCCTGGGCTTCAGTGTCACCCCCACCCACCCCACACACACACCCAGAGAAGCCTTCCTTGAATACCTTCAATACCTTGAACACCTAAGGAAGCTCTCCCTCTTATTTACCTCAGATCCTTCCAGTTTCTATCGCAGGGACAGGAAGTGTGGAACAAATTGATTTATTGTGTCCATCCTTCTACTAGACGCTCACTGCCGTGAAGTTGGAACCCTGTCTGCCCTAGTCACCAACGTGTCCCGAGCACTTAGCACGGTGCCAGGCACAGCAGAAAGGGTCCATGCAAACCTCAGCCAAACCTCCTGAATGAAGGTATGAGTTCCGAGGAAAGGGCAGCCAGGTGGGGGTTGTCATCAGGCTGCAGAGGTGATTACCACAGGGGTGTAGGACACCTTTCCTTACCCTCTTCACCCTTTCATCCATCACTTCATTGCATTCTTGGATGAGAAAATGCAGCCCTCCCAATAATGTGTCCATGACTGCGAGGGACGGTTTCATGGGGCCTGCTCTCTACTGAGTAACATCACGCTCTCCATCTGGCCATGGCGGACTAGTCATAACTGCAGGGTTGTAGTTGGGGAAAATGCCTTGTAGCCTTTCAGTAGAGGTACACCCCAAGACAACACCCCCTCTTCTTCTGCCGCCAGACAAGACTGCACCAAACCACCTGGCTTCAGTCTTGGGCGGCAACAAGGACAGGTATGGGCCTGGGCGATAGGGGGGCAGCCTGATGCTCTAATGCTTCCATGAACCATTGTGGGCAGCCCCTCAGAAAGAAGCAGTACTTAAAAGACAGCCCCCACCCTCGGCCAAATAAATTAGGGACTTCGTTTTCCTGCCAATGCTGTAAGTACACAGAGAAAAAAATAACTGCCAACTTAAAGTCAGCCACAAAGGAAATGAGGAAGCAGGCTAATCATTTCCACACAGAGCAGCCATTTGTGTGACCGAACAGACTTCTGGGAAATAACACATAGTTCAAACAAGAAAGCTCTTTACTAGGAAAAGGATATTTTATGAGACCAAAGTATAAAAGGGGGTTTTATTTTCTTATTTCCTATAATCTGACATTCTTCGATTAAATCTTCAAAATGGCATCACCCTTTTGTAAAGAGGAGATTCCCATTCAATGAAAAACGAAGTATGTTAATATGCTGAACTAAGCAATAAGGGGAGACCCTCACTAAAGCTATGGCTTTTCTATTCCACTTTCAAAGAGTCTGATTCAGTCAGCACAAGGGTATGGGCAGGATATTAAATCACTCCACTCCGATACTGTTTTACCTTTGTTTATCGAAGGCCAATTATTATACTCATTTTCTAATTGCCCTACAGGAGCAATTAGAAACATGTATTCATGTTTCCTAACCTGTGGGCCAGGCTGAGGACAGGAGCCAGACTAACGAGAGCAGAAAGACTGCCTCATGCGCTGTTGTGACCAAACAGGCCTAATCATTTTCCAGCTACAGCATCGGTTTAACAGAGAGAGACTGCAAACCAGACTGAGGTAGAAGGTAAACACCCTTAGCGTACAGCAGCCACGGCAGAGATACACAGAAATCACAGTGATTTCTCCCTTGGGTTGCTTTTGATGTATGAAATACACACAGCACGCTCGGAAGAGTACAGTGACGTTAAGGGACGTCGGAGGTAAGGAGGGCAGGAGGCTACTTGCAGTTACGACCCTGACACCAAGTGGCTGCATGACTGTGGGTCAATCACTTCTCTAAGCTCTGTTTCTCCATTGGTGTTAGAAGCAGGATAAACTAGAGGACTAAACTGTTCTGACACTCTGGACTGGTGTAAGTGTATGGATCCCTAGATTTGCACTCTGTTTTGATTTAGAATACTCTTGCTCTCCAAGTTGCATGCCAAAGCCTAAGCCAGGATACAGAAAGAATTCTTTTCTGCTCCTTGCTTTATGTCAAACAGATTCCTAAAACCCTTAGGACCAAATAACGCATTCCAAAAATTCTATGTTGAACAGCACCAAAATTCATCGTTCCATCTGTTCCCCCCACATGACCACCCCCACTTCCTTCCTCCCAGTTGTTGGGCACTTGTGATGCTCCAGGCTCTGAATCCCAATCCAGCAGCAGGGAAAGTTTCATAAATGAGTAGAAGTGATAAAGGGTTTAGGCCATGAGTTGTCCACGATCTAGTGAGGGGGAGGTCTGCTGAGAAACATAAACTGAGTAACTGCTCGGGGGTTTGACTCACCTTCCCTGACGAGGTCAGGAAGGGCTTGAATAAAGGAGCCAAGGCTTGGGCTGAATCATATGAGTAAATGCCCACTCAGCTGGCAAAACAGGGTGGGAGGCATTCAAGGTGGACAGAATGGCATGCACGGTGCTATGGAACAAAAGGCTTATTTAGGAACAGCGGGTTGATCAGAATGTGAGAGCAGAAGGTGGGATAGACCATGATCGGGAGCAGTGGGAGCCATCGTGGGGGGCCTCCTGGTCTGGACCTCAGCCCTCAACTGGGGGGTCCTTAGGTTCCTGCTTCCTGGGGTTCCAAAGGCTTCTATTCAGTTGGCATTCCTCTTTAGGGGTCCCTTAATGTGAAACCCTCCGGGGTATCCAGGCAGGACGATAGTTCGGGCACACAACAAATTATATCAAGAGTAAAATAAGTGCAGTGATTTTCAATACATGATTCACCTTCCTGCTGCTCACCTTTTCCTTTCTGGGCATAGAACCTGCAATTCTATATTCTGACTTTTGCACATTGGACTCTATGTTCCTGGGAACATCTTATGTATAAAAGTTGGGGACTGTTTGTATTTAGCAAGACAGTGGCTTTTTACCTATTTAGTTCATTTGTAAAAATTCACATCTAAAACAGTGTAGCTCAATCAACAATCTATAAAATCCAAAAAACATGGAGACAAGGAGTAGAATCAGACAGAAAGATTGGCAATATGTGCAAATATATTAGCAAACACATGAAACTCAAGGTCATAAGGAGAAGGGCCACTTTCCCTATTTTCCAGCAAAGCTACAGAAAATAAAGTCAACCACCACTAAAATAAAATTGCAACATTACCGAGGTGGGAAGACAGAACAGTCCAAGAGAAAAATGTAAACGTATTTCTAATTCATTTCAGAAACAATCAAGATCTCTCAGACTTAACCATGAAAAGGCAGAACTCATTCTCAGGAAGATAATAAAGGGATTGTCAGGCCACCGATTTACAAAACTTCAGAAGTTTCAGTCGAAACATCCCATCAGGGAGTGTGGGAGCCATTAGTGACAGCGACACGCAGCTTTGGCATCCACCCGACTGAGGGATTTTCAAGCTCGTCTGTGTCACCACATTTTTTCAGACAAATTTTAGTTCTGAAATGCCACGTGTCTTACAACTGATGTATACATTTATTGTGTAGTCTTTCCTTTCTTTCTGAGAAGCTGTAAGTAAATTGCTGACTCACCCCCCAGGTGAAGGTTTCTTAAACAGAGAGTATTTAGAACCAGCTTCGTGATCAAGTGTTGGTGATATAAACCCTCCAAGCTTTTGTTTCCTCAAAACAAAAGGAATTATAAAGAATGTTCTGTAGTAGGTGAAATTCAATTGTTTATCTCAAGCTCCTGTGTAAGGTTCAGTGTATGGTGGTATTTGGCAAATGCCAGGGCCCAAGGTAGGTCAAGTCCTCCGAAGTTCATGGGCACTTTGAGCACCTTGTCTGCTTAGGACTGGGGAGGACACCCACTTGAGCCAGTCACTCGGTTGACAGGACTTACTCCACTGTGGCCTGTGCACAGACCTTCTGCCCCTGGAAGCCAGAGGTTAGTAACACGTAAGAGCCTGTCCTGACCTTCACGGAGAGCTCATCTGCCCAGATGAACAGTCTTTACCACCGACAGTTGTTTCACATTCTCTCTTTGGATCCTTTTAACTACCCTGTGACACAGAGGCACTGCTCCACCTAAGCTCCTCTTAGGAGTGGGACAGTGACACATGCTGGTCAGTGACCGAGCTGGGGATGGGGGCGCCAACCCAGATGTGTTGGATCCCCGGCCCTGCACCGCTTCTAGGATTCAGTTCTGCAGAACTACTTTTTCCCATGTGTCTCTGGGACAAACCTGAGGGCTACGACCTTGAGTTGGTTCTGGACTGATTAATGCATCATGAGGAAGCAAGTCATTCTGAAAAAACTACTTCTACTCATTGTAAAGCTAGAGATGTGAAGTCTCACTCTAGCGTCACACATGAGAAAACGCCCGCAGCAGTTGTGGCAGGCTTTTGAGCAAGGACCCGAGTGGTGCTAGAGACACAAGCCAGTAAAACGACTGCAACTGGGACCACAGTAGAGAGCTACTGGGGTGTAACTACTGTTAGTAGTTAAACAGTATCTCTGACATGAGGTTTATCATTGTTCCTGAAAATAAAAAGAGAGACATTTTCTTTCCTGATAGGACTGGGTAACTTGGAGGGTTAGATCTCAGCTGTGGTGCTGACCACATTCTGGCGGAACCTGACAGAGGGTCAGACCTTGCACAGAACCACCAGGGGTGCTGTAGGGGTTAATAGTACCTGCCACCCTCCCAGCCACAAGGGAGAGGAGACCAGAGACCCAGGAAGGGATGCACGGGCTGAGCAGGGCTTTCCTTGGGGGGGGGGGGGGGGTCGGGCCCCAGAGAAGGGATCCCAGGCCTCTCTCTCAGGGTTTTACAGCAGCTAGAATTTCTAGGGTTTTAACTGGAGCAACCTCTGCAAAGCATGAGCTATTTCACACATCTGCCCTCTTTACAAGCCATGCCATTTCCACAGAAAAAATTAGTCCTGGTGACAGAAAAGTGGGCCTTTAGGACTTGCTCAGAGATAGAAGAGGTTTCTGGTGATTTCTTCTGGATACTGAAGAGAATTTATAGCCAAGCATCTAGTCCACGTTGGCACCTGTGTTTGTTATGCTTTGGTAGAAAAAGAAAAAAGAACCAGCGTCCATCACTGAAAGAACAATGGTGTGCAAACAGAAATGGAGGTTGGAGGGGCACAGGGGACAAAGAAAAGACCAGTAATTTTCTCAGGGAGCCGTCCCACTTCCCCTCTCCTCCCCAAGATCAGAGCCTTCCTCTGGGAAACGCAGCCTAGAGCAGATACACACCATCCCACACTCTGTCTGCCAAGTAAGACCACCACGGGAACCAGAGATGTCCCAGAAGACACCTCTCAGTTCCGCTTGTCGGGGGACATGAGCTCTTCCTAGATGAGGACTCCAGCCCCTCCAAACTTCTGGGCAGCAACAGTTTTTCCCCTTCTGTGTCAAGGCTGAGCAGGGAAACCTGCTGCCCAGGGAGAAGGCAGGGGCCTGACGGGCATCCTAGGTTGGGCTTGCTTGGCAAACGGGTGTGCGCATGCCCCCGCCTCTGAGCTGCCTCCTGCCAGGCAGCTCTCAACCCACCGCTGACCAGTGTCTTACAGCCTGGGTGAATCCCCCAGGCTGGCTCCACCCCGTCCAAGGTGACAGGCCTGCTGGGCCTGGTTAGTGCCCCAAAGCACCAAGGCTAGCTAACTCCTAAGCCCAACATGGCCTTGACAGGCACTTTGCAGACAGCACAATGAAACAAGTAACCATGGCCGGATTAGCAAGGACAATAAAATCACAGGACATGATTGGTACAGGAGACATGCTTTAAAGACCAAATTCTTTTTTATGACTCAGCTTTCTTTTTATTCTGAGTCTGGCAGATTCGAGGTAGTACTTGCTTTGTAAGCACCTGCTGAGCCATGATGTAATTATACATGTGATAATGTATAATTATTCATTCTAATGCTAAACTTAAGTAATTTAGAAGTAGTATTGCGTGCTGGAAAAGCAATTAATTATGCAAATATAACCCCCCCACCCTGTTTGTCTGGCTTGGAAAAGCACAGGCCAATAAGAACATGTGGGTTAAGAAAATCTCTGTACGTGTTCTAAGACTATCGTACACTAGAGTGGTAGGTCTGTGGTAATGCCTATGATGGACTCATCCACTATTTTACCAAAGGGAGGCAGAAGGGAAGTAGGAAGGGAGGCAAGAAGCCTACTTTCTTAGCAAATGCTTATAGAGGATCCCCCACCCCCCCTACACACCACTGAGCCTGGGAAGTTACCTTGCTTCCCCTCCTCCCCTCCTCCTCAGCCCCCCACCACCAAAGTTACCTTGGTCCAGTTGCCCACTCTCCAGCTGGCACATGGACGAAGGTGGCATCTCTTGGCAGGGTCGGGCCTCTGAATGGCCGCACAGTCTGCGTCCACCTGGGTGCTGCACTCCACACGTCTCCAGGAGGCCCCCAGCCCACAGGTGGCGGAACACTGCGTCAGGGGACAGAAGACAGAGCTGAGTGCCACTCCCTCGGACACAGCCCCTGACACCCTGCTCAGGCTCTGCTGCTCACCAAACTGCCCTCGGAGCTTTCAAACAATCCAAGCACTGGGGCCCTGCCCCAGGCAAACAATCCCAATCTCAGCTGGTAGGGCGTGGGCATCAGCCATTTAAATAACTTCCCAGGTGATGCTAATAAACAGCAGGGCTGAGAATGCCTGACATCTGTGGGAGGAAAACCCAATGCAAATTATCTGCTTCCCTTTAAAAATTATGTGGGCTTGAGTGCCAAACTGCCACATTTCATACCAATGCTATTGCTCTCGGACATCAGAACCATGCACCTGCCTCTTACCTCATACCCGTACCTCGCCGCAGTGACACTATCTCAGTCCTCTCTGTCACAAACGGTGATATGGGTGGGCATCATTATAAAGAAACCAAGGCTTGGAAAGCTGGCTTGCCCAAGGAGTAAGACTAGGATTTTCTGCCTCCAAAACACAGTACGATCTCTGGCGTCCTGCAGACACTGGGCTAAACACGGCTTCTGTCCCAGAAGGTCTGGGGTGGGGCTGGAGAGCATGTGTTTCTAACTAGGTCCCAGGTGATACGGATGCTCAGGTCCTCAGACAACACGAGGAGTTAGGAGGCTACCACGTTTCACTATTTGACCCCCCAGTGGTGAACAAATCAATCGCCTTTTGCCACACGTACAGCCCATTCCTCACAAGATGTTTTCATTTATTTACAATTTTTAAACACCTCAGGTTTAGCAGGGGGCACCTTGAAAATGACACAAACTTCCCCCTTATAATTTCTTTTATTCTACATGCCTGATTCTTTCATATGGCTGCTCCCACTCACACTCCCCCAACCCCGCCCAGTGTCAGGAGAGGCTGTTCCCAAACATGTAAAACACAGCTCTGGGCTGCTAAAAAAAGGGGTGAAAGTTCCATGTATGATGGTTTTAGAAGTTTGGTTTGATGAGTTATAAATAAAAACCATCCTTACATTTCTCTTGCTGCATTTTCACCCTCCACATAATGTCATGTTTTACTTGGTGCAAGTTCTTGTGTTATTGACACATGTATAACACAATAGCGTTCCTAGGTAGATGAATTTATTATATTGTACAAGGATAAAAGGGAAGAGGAGAAAACAGCCAGGTCATCAGTGTTTCCACTCAGCTGGTGGAGGCAATCTCTCCTCCTCCTTAGAGCTGTTTAGGATTCTCTCTTTCATTTTAATCTTGGCTAATATAATTATGATGTGCCTTGGTGTGTTCCTTCTTGGGTCCAACTTCTTTGGGACTCTCTGAGCTTCCTGGATTTTTTGGAAGTCTATTTCCTTTGCCAGATTGGGGAAATTCCCCTTTATTATTTGTTCAAATAAGTTTTCCACTAGTGGCTGTTCCTCTAGCAACAGGGGAGTGGGAGAAGGAGAAAGGGGGAGAAGGTACAGAAAATAAGTAGCATAGACAGTAGATAGAAAATAGATAGGGGGAGGGCAAGAATAGTATGGGAAATATAGAATCTAAAGAACTTGAGACACGTGGTCATAAACTAAAGGGGGGAATGGTGGGGGAGGGGTGTGCATGGTGGAGGGGAATGAAGGGGGAATAGAACTGTAATAGCATAATCAATAAAATATATTTTTTAAAAAATTAAAAAATAAACACTCTGGTAAAAATAAAAAAGCTGTTTAGGGTTTGGTTTGTATCTCTCCTAAGTTTCTACCACCTCCTTCTCTGCACGACACTGCGGGTACATAAGAAGACAGTAACAGCTGAAGAGCATTGACCCCTGACCCCTGGTGGCCCGGGTGCTCACACACACACTCTTGGTGATGGGACTTCGCAGCTCCTCTCGTCAGGCAGTGGACTGCACTGGTTTGGCCAAAAAGTTCACCTAGTTTTTTCCATGTGGTGGCTCTAGTAGTGCTGAGTTGTCTTTAACTTCATTCAAAACAATTTTGTTAGATCGTATTGTGACAGCTGTCATACCAGCGTGCATTTTAAAAAAAAACTTATCAAAATTGGTGAGTTTTTGTGCAGCTATTTTAATACTGAAGATGGAAGAAAATATCAACATTTTTGGTGTATTGTGCTTTATTATTTCAAGAAGGGTAAAAACACAACTGAAACACAAAAAGAAGATTTGTGCAGTGTGTGGAGAAGGTGCTGTGACTGATGGAACGTGTCAAAAGTGGTTTGTGAGGTTTCTTGGTACTACTGACATTCTGGCTGAATAATGCTTTGCTGAGGGACTGTCTTATGCACTGGAAAATGTTCAGCAGCACCCCTGGCCTCTACCCACTAGAAGCCAATAGCAGGAGAGAGCCAACATACTCAAAATATCCAACTCAATAAAGTTATTGGTGAAAATGAAAAATGTGTCTTTTATTTTATGGAAAAAACTAAACAGACTTTTTGGCCAAGCCACTATTTCCCCAGCTCTTGAACCAGGACTGTGCTTGCAACTTTGGCCAATAAAATGCAGCGGGTGATGTTGCGCAGTTCTCAAGCGGCCTTGCTTGTTTCGGTCCTCCCTTTTGGACCCTGTCTCTGCCATGAGAATGCAGCTGGGCCAGCCTGCTGCAGCCTGAGAGATCATGTGAAACAGCCGGGTGACCCCGCCAAGGCCATCCCAGAGCAGCCAGCCTTCAGCCAACACTCCAGCAGACTCATGACAAGCCAAGCTGAGATCAGCTAAGCTCAGCCCAGATCAGCAGAACCCCCAGCCGACCCACAGGCTTGTGAACAAAAACAAATATTTACTGAGGTGTTGTGCTTCTTTGCCAGTTAGCATGAATGTGGCAACAGACCACTGATACAACAACATAAAAGGTATTTTTTCCACATTTTCTATAACCTTCGGAGATGCAGGGTACAATTAAAGTTCTGCAGTTGGCTGAGTGACCTTTTGCACTTTCCTAACTTCGCTGGCCTGAAACACTGGTGGGGACACTTGGGCCTCCTCCACAGGGCTGTCGTGAGGACCACGGAGATGGGCCCTGCACACGCCGGTGGTCTCCAAGTGTTACCTACTGACCAGAACGCACCCGCAAAGTCAGCACAAAGTCCCACTTTCCAGATGTCTGGGGCCCAGGGAGTTTAGAAGTCATGCTCAAGGCCACACAGACAGTATGCTGTTAATTTCATATCACAATGTGGAGGAAAACAGCATTTTTCCAAAACCCAGGGATGGAGCTGGGAAGACCAGATTCCCAGGCTGGCGCTGACCAAACATGGTGAATATCAAGTGATGTCTATAGTTCTTTGCACCATATTATGCCGCAAGTAAGCGCAGATTGGCTCTGGGCTCTGCATCCAGTCCTGCTAGACGCTGATGTCCTGAGAAGGTGTTTGTTTTACTCCTTCGGACAGTCTCTGCTGAAGCAGCAAAGTGCGATCCAACAGTAAAGCCAGCAGGACGGAGTCCGTGGAATGCAGGAGAAGCAGATGGGGTTGCACAGGCTGTCACTCACGGCAGTTTGACGGGGAGTGGGGGATCTGAGAAGGGAGGACTCTGAGGAAGCTGGGGGACAACTTCACTTTGTCCCGGAAACAGCTAGCGACCACATGGGAACTGACTCACAGGTCAAGGAGCCCGATTCAGGGTATTTGGCCCTGGGGCGGAGGTGGAGGGCTGTGAAAGGCTGTGGAGAATGACACTGTCACCCCCACCGACACGAATGCAGAGCACATTGACCTGACTGGCCCGGGGAGCAGACTGAATGAAGAGGCAATTTGATGAGAGGCGATTTCCACTGAAATAAGAGCCACACGCCTACATGCTGCGTGATATGTTTCCTGTTCTGTTTTTGGCATAGATATCAGAGCAAACACTGGGCCAGTCCTACGTGCCAGACCCTGCTCTGAGCCAGTCCTTTTACTTCTTAACAGATTTATGAGTCAGGCACACCATCCTCCTCATTTCATGGATGAGGAAAATGGGGTGCAGGGAGGACTCAAACCCAGACAGTCTGGCTTCACACTTTGTGTGTTCATAGTGTTCATTTGGTTTTTACATCTGTTCTTTAATTTTTGAAATCACAGTGAGTTAGAGGGCCCTGCCGTGTGCAGTGGGGAACATGAACAGCCCTTTGCTACAGGGCAGAGGGTGGGCGTGGTGAGAGCGACCACAGATCAAGGGTAAGGAACTTTAGAAATGCCTTCGCATGTTCAGGATCAGGACGGGACTTAGGGAAGAAGCAGCTCGAAGGCTGACACTGAAGAACAGGTAGGATTTAAAATGGCAGAAGGCTTCGGAGAAACTGAGTTCAGATTTACTGAAGCTTCAGGGGGTTGAGGAAAAGCAGGAGGCACTGGGTTTGAAAGCTGGATTATGTTGGGAAGCCCATTTGGATGCTAGAGTGGATTTTATCTGCTCTGATAAATAGTGAGGAGACATTAAAGATTTGTGAGCAGGAGATAATGACTGGAAAAGTCTTCTGGGAAGACGAGTTTGGCAGTCTGGCATCTCTTGGGACGACGTGTGGAAAGCCGTGGAGACGGGAGAGACCGAAGTGCACAGACCGGCAAGGAGCTGTCCAGCTGGGGTCCCACACAGGAGGGTCCTTCATTCTTGACCACTGGGGCGCCAGTGGCATTTCGCACTGGGCACTTCTTCCCTACAAGGGCCTTTCCCGGATGTGGCAGGACTTCTGCCATCTTTGGTAGGCGTGGAAAGTTAATAGCAGCCCCTCCCCCCATCCTTGCATAAAAGCACCCCCACTCTTTTCCAAATGCCTCCTACCATTTCATTAGATTGGAGGACACTGGGTCCGGAGCTAACAGGAAATAAAGAGGAGACGACACAATGATGAGGTGACACTGACAGAAAAACTATTAGGGCACTTTCGGTAGCAAGGGGCAGATCCGTATCAGTGGTGATGCTGGGTTTCTAAGACTTGGTGATTGAGAGGAGAGCGATGCACCATAGGGTGGGGCGATCCTGAAGAAACAGCTTCAGAAAGAGGCAGAACAAAAAATTAGGGACAATGGGACCTTCAAAACCCAGCGTTTTCCTTCCGAGTCCTGGTCCTCTCGGACAATTCTGAGTCCAACACTATTTCATCGGGTGCACACAGGGAGCCGGCACTGCACCAGGCCATGAAGGAAGCCCAGGCCAAGTGTGGAACTCGGTGCTAGGCCTGCAGCTTCGGGGAACTGCAGTCTGGGCCGACTCCCTTTCCCAGCCAACTCCCTGGAATTAATAGCTCTCAATGGCTCCAGCATGACCGCCAAGCTTTTGGTGAGCTATGATGTGTTCAATAAGGCAGTTTATTTCTATCAAAGTCAAATAATGACATTTGAGATAGAATTAATTCTGTGTATCTTGATCAATGTCTGGGCTCAAAAACTTGTCAGGTTTGTGTGTACTTTTATTTTGGTTTAGTTTATTTGGATATAGTAATTTCTCAGAGAATCCATTAATATTTATCAGTTCATTATCACGTGTTAAATATCTTTAGGACAAAAGCATGAGAGCACATTTGAATTTAATAATTCTACAACTGCTTTGGGATTTGGGGACTGGATGAAAAGATAAGAGGGTAGGAAAAGAAACTAATTCCTGGGTCATCCTAAGGCTACTTTTTAATCAAACTTTCATATTAACTTGTGGACGGAGAAGGACTTGTCCTTCCTTATGAACAGTCCTGGTGCAGGGACTCCTCCGTCTGCGGACTGTGATAGCTTCTTACAGGCCTCCCCTCTGGACTGCAACTTGGCATTCCATCTCAACATGAATGCCATTCTCCCCACAGTCACCGGTGACCTGCTCATGGTCAAATCCATCACACCCACTGCCAGTCTGTGTGTTCCTAGACACCCACGGCACCATTTCTCTTGGTTTACATCTTAAATATAAACTACTCCTTACTAGTCTTCCACATGGGGGCTCTTTGTTAGCTGGCTTCTTGAATGCTGATGTTTCCTAGAGTCCTATCGCTGTCTTGGCACCCTTCGGGTTAATGGGTGGACCTCCTTCCCTCTCAAGGCTCTTCTACCTACTGGTCTTGGCTACCGAACCTTATCTCCAGGTTTCATCCCTCCCGAGACTCTCAGACCCAAACACGCAAACACCTGTTGCTTATCATCTGACTATCCCAGAGCTACCACTGCCAATGTAACTCGGTCTATAACTAAAACCATCATCCCTCCTTTCTTTGCCTCTGTTAGGACTCACTCCTCCTATATAAGGTGTGATATCTTGGTTTATAGGGGCACCACCCGACAGACCCCCAGGATTCCAACTGAATAGTCAGGACAGATTCTTCTCCTCCCCTCCTTTCACACCCACATCAATTATTCACAAAGCCCCACTGGTGTGAGGTTCTAAGCAGGAGTGTCCAACTCTCGGCCCATGGGCCACATTTGGCCCAGGATGGCTGAAAATGCAGCCCAACACAAAATTGTGAATTTACTTGAAACATTATGAGATTTTTTGTGATTACATGTTGCAACGTATTTAATGTGTGGCCCAAGACAACTCTTTTTCTCCCAGTGTGGCCCAGAGATGCCAAAAGTCTGGACACCCCTGTACCTAAAGCTATTCTGAGTTTACCTTCCCCTCGTCATCTGAGTGTTCTTGTCAGAGTTCTCACGCCTCAGCCAGACCACTGCAGTACCCTCCCCGCAGGCCAAATCCCTCACCCTCACTGCTTCCAGAATGCACTTCCTCAACCACACAGGGGCCGTGCCATTCAGTGCCAGAGACGGCTAGATATTCACTACCATAACCTTTCTTCTCTTCTTCCGGGGCTCATGATTAGAATAAATTTCTCAGCTGCTTTGCAGTGGGGGTTGAGTTGTGTGACTGAGTTCTAGACAGCGGAGCGTGAGCAGAAATATTTTGTGCCCCTTTGAGGCCTGTCCCCTAAAGCCACCTACAGGAATACCACTATGCCCTTTTTCCTCTCCGAGACTAGGATGGTGACTCAGGACAAATTCCACGAGAGGAGGACGGTGGCAGAGCCCTTGTCAGCCTGGATTCCCGAATGACTGCATGGATCAGAGTCTCATTCTCTGTGGCCACCGTTGCAGGCCTGGAATTCCCTTGTACTGTTAGGTGAGTGAGAAATCAACCTTTGTTGTAGTGAACTGCAATGTGTATGGCTCTGTTTGTTACAACAGTCTAGCCTTGTGTGTGTGTCTGTGTGTATATGGTTTCTAATTTCATATACATACGGTACACATGTCATACTCTGATTATTCTGACATCAACCCTATACCTAAGCCTTTTACCACCTACTTTTTCATATTCTGTTTGACCAGGTTGTATTCTTTTCAAGGCCCATAGTGTCTTTAATTGTAGGTGCTTTCAGACTCCATCTCCATGAACTAATGAACAAAATCACACTAATTCACTAGTAGCCTCAGTTTCCATACTGCGTTCTCTTTGTCTTTGAGTCCACGGAGGCTGCACGCTGCCCAGACTGCTTTGACGGATGGAGGACAACAAGCCGTTTACCTGACCTTTAGGGATGCCCCACGTGTTCGGAAGGAAAGGTACATTTGAGGGCCCTACTTTCGAGTACATCCTCTCGAGGACGTTACTCACAAAACGGAAAGAGATCGATTTTATTTCTAGGCTGACCCCACTGTGGTGACAGTATAGGGACCATTTGGCCCTGTGAGCTTAAAAGTAACCATGGAGCCCTCAAGGTTATTTTAAAATACTTTCTTGTGAACTTTGTGATTTTCTCATCTGTCTGCCCAGGGTCACCTCTCAACCAGAATTGTTTTTGTGCCACCGACCAAAGAAGAACCTGCTACAACAGAAGGCAGATAGAGTGGTGATATTTCCACACCGGCAAAGCAATGGGTCAGAGGCCCTGAGCTCTCTGCCCGCCTGGGGTCAAGTCCCTGCTCCACCACGGAGGGGGGTGTGCGATCCTGGCTGGCTCTCAACACCCGTCAGCTTCCGCTTCCTCATCTCTAAAACAGGGAAAATACCACCAGTCTCCTTGGGCAGTGGTGAGGATTGAATGAGAGAATTCATGTTAATTAGCATAAAATCATGCTATTAAAGCATGACACATGCCTTATAAATGCTCACTGTCTACATCCTCCTCATTATAAAGAGCCCACACAAACTTTCCCCATGGAAAAAATACGACTAGAATGTCAGGGATCAGAAGACCATTCTTGTAAACACGAACATCTTTCTTTCCTCACAAACCGGAACCCTTTACGTGCGAATGGAGATACTAAGACCCTGCTACACCGACAGGAGATGTGATAACTTAAGAAATCACACGAGAATCAACGTGAAAACCGAGGTCGAGTGCGAACAAGAATTTTCTAAGGCTCGATTTACCTACTTATTGCCAATATAGTCAATTCTGTCACTAAAGATAATGATTCACTCACACAAATTTTGTTATATAGCTCAGTTGTTAATTGGCGCCGAAATTCACTAGAGACAGCAGATTAGAGTGGAAAGAGTTAGAAGGTTCACCATCCAAATGGCCAGTGTCCTCAGACAAGTCGCGGAACCACTGGAAATCCTAGTTTCTCTGTTTATAAGTTGATGTAGATCAGCCCCTGCCTGCTCCTCAGGGCTGTCAAAAGGAGGAAATAAGAGATTGCATATAAAAGTGCTTTGGAAATTAACATGCTTTATAGATTAAATGTTTGCTTTTTCATATTAGTTACTATTGCTTCACTTCCTTTTGGCTACAAAACATGAGCCATGAAATGTCATAAAAATGCTGAATGATTATCTTGCCACAAAGTCCTCTTCTGAGTTATGAAATAATTTTTCACAAGTACATATACTGTGCATTTGAAATTCAAATGGGTGAGAAATGATTTTGAATTAGTTCTAGAAATGGAAGAACACATTTGTAGCCAAATGCCTAAAGCCTGAAAACAGGGGCCAACAGTTTTTCATCGTTACCTTCTTTTCCCTCTATATTCTAACTTGTTTGAAAGGCAAAATGATTTTTTTGTATATAAGCAAACTCCGCCCCACCCCCTGCCAAAATCATTAATACAGTAAGCTATAGAATTTATTTAAAGAGTGTGGTGTTAGATTTATGTTCTGTTATTCCTTGACAGGTTTAAATCGGGGGCTCAAACTTTAGCTTTCTGAATGAACTGTGCCCGTTTACGTCAGCCTTCAGCACGGGGTCAGCACAGTCTGCAGCTGGAAGGGATGCTGGAGACGACCCACACTGGCTCACGGTTCTGCAGACGCAAAGCAGGCTGGGTGAGATAACAGAATTCCCCACGACCACACAGCTGGCTGACCCAGACCTCGCTACCTTTGTTCTCTTCCCTGGAGACATTTTTCTCCCCATTTTTGGAGTGAGGGAGGCAAAGATGGAGGTGAGCGCATAAATCTGATTGCTTCACACGGATTCCACATTAGACTATATTTCCTATGAGCCCATTTCGAAACTAGCACAAGAATGCAACACCCCTCACTGTTTTCCAGGGAGACACAGGCATGGGGCAGCTGTGGAACTCCTACCTCAGTCCAGTTTCCGACGACCCAGTGCGCGGAGCTGCGGCCCCTCGAGAGCTGCTTGTAATCGGAGACGTTCAGCAGAAACCCCTCGGCGATCAGACTTGTGGCATCTTCCTCCGTCAGCACGGGTTCAGAACTGCGTGTCGGGTCCGTGTTGCTCGGAAGCGCTGGGGCGTCGTGGTTTACTGGCTTTTCCGAGGCTGCTGGCTGGCGGTCTGCCCCCAGGGGGAGAGGCGTGTTTGTGGGTTTTCCAGTGACCGTTCCCTCGGTGCTGGGTGTGCTATTTTTGAGAGTAGTGGGCCCTTGGCTGGGTAGCAGTCCTTCTGTCACTGTGCTGACAGGTGTCCACAAGGATGCCCCCCAAAGATAAGGTGTTGGCGGAGGCCCAAATGGCATTCCTGTGCTTCTGCCCCCTGAAGCATCATTTTCGGGTGCTACGGTCTTGGTCCATATCACAGAGCTGTTTCCATCTGTGTTCTCAGGTTGTTCCCTGTCTTCCCCTGAGCCACTAGGAACCTCCGTGTCTGGCTCTTTGCTCAAGGTATTGTAAAATGGAGTCACCTGCCAAGTCATGGGGTTGCCGGAAGATGACAAATCTGAAGCAATCACAGTTGTAGCAAAAAGGTCTCCCTCTGAGGTAGTACCAGGGTCTGCATCGGAAACATGCTCTTCCTTTGGCCGGACACTCGGAGACCAGGTGGTGAGGTCGGGCTGGGAAGTAGTTGCAGAGGAGATGACAAGACGGGTGTCCAGTGCCGTGTGGGTGGAGCTATTCTGCCACTGATTCCCGTCCAGGGCTCCTTCGGAGGCTGGGGCAGGACTAGAGCTGTTGATTGCCAGAGCACCTGTGGTCACAGGCGCAGGCACTGTGGGCGTGGTCAGCATCCTGGGCCCAGGTGTCGCTGGTGGGATGGGCTTTACAGGGTCACGTTCAGATGTCGGTGGCCTTTTCCCAGTGAACACCGTGCCTTTGCTGGGGTTCAGAATTCTCCGGCTGGACGGGCATTGCTGGAGGCCACATAGAGCTCGGCTGTTGGGCTTTCTTGTCACGTCACAGGGCTCATTGTGGTTCTTGGCGCACGTGACACTGCGAATCCGCACTCCACCGCCACAGGACACAGAACACTGGAAAAGAGGGACAGCTGTCATCCTGGGTGGGAAAGTGGCATTGGTTCTCACACTCAGGTTCACAGCAAACCAGGGCAGGCCCACAGAAGCTGAACTGTGCAGCCGAAACTTTTACATTTTACACTTTTATATTTTGCTTCTGCATTCCTTTAGCTTCCCATGGAAATATGTATCTGCTGGAGACCAGCTGAGGCTCAGGACCGACCATTCACCCTCCACAAACTGAAAATACAAACCAGGACAGTGTAAGTGAAGTCTCCCTGGGCTTTGAGCCATGGATCATGGAAAGATTTAAATAAGTCACCTACCCTTTCTTTTTTTTTTTTTTAAAGAAGAGGGGAAGGGGGGGGGGGGGATGTGGGGGACCCTTTAAAGAGGTAGTGATAATATGTTTCCTAGGGTTCTGATGCTATTAAATTAATGTGAAATGTTTATACACTCTCTGAAGTCTATTACGTGAGTTCTCACGAACTCTTCCCCCAATATTTAGGACACTCGTGGTCTCATCCAGGCCCCAAAAGCTCCATTTTCACTTGCCTGTGTCAGGTAGAATCATATTAGAAGCTAGACATACTCACACGTGAGTGCAGACCCCGGGCCTCTCCTGAAAAGAGCAGTTCATCAACGGTGGGAGACGCCCTTTGCAAAGGGTTCGGTGCGCCCTGCAGCATGGCACTGGTCTGTACACGGGGGCCGTGGCAGGGACCCCCACAACACCCTCTCACATTCTGCAGGGCACATCAAAGCACAGGCAGCTAGAGTGCCTTTAGGGCACCCCAACGGGACAGTCCTTCGTCAGGATTCACAGTACAGATCATCTATTTCATCAGTCTCGGCAGCTGCAAACCACGCAGAGTTGCTGCGTAACATATACTTCCTGATGTTTTGAGAAACCCATGTTTTTACTAAACTGATGCAGTCTTCACTTTCCTTTTCAATGACCTTTTAAGTTATCCACCAAATAGTTGGGCACTTGAACATGAACGGTCCAGGAACCTTCCCCGGCTGTTTCACATCTGTCCATTCTGTCTCTGACCCCCAGAGCAGGTTCCTTGAGACTGGGGACTGCGTGATACTCGGTGGATTTCATGGGGCTTCACAGCCACTGCTCCGAAGGACGCCCCAGGAGTACACGTTCTCCAGCACACGCACCACGTCTCCCACTCTGCCTCTGTTACCCAGTGGATGCGGAACCTTGTAAATAACTAATGGGTGCCATTCCTTCGCCCTGGGCTAACCCTGGGGGCAGGGTTAACTCTCTACCAGGTACACTGGGCCTAGAAATGAAGATGCTCTTCCCGCCACACCAGAAAGGGCAGCTGTTTCGTGCTCAGCCCACACTTCCACCTGTGCGTCCTCCCACTGCGTTTATTTCCACAGGGGCCGTCCAGCCCATCAAAGGAAATAAATGCAGGACACAACGCACTCAGAACTCACCTCTGTGGGTAGTTTCAGAATTCTCAAAACCAATTTCTGCCACGATTATGGAAGGCCCTTACCTTATAATTCTGAGCCCTGTACCAGCCAGGCAGCTTGCCAATCTGCTCATGTTCTCCTGCAAGGTACCTGGCCACCCCTCCTAGATTCTGGCCTTTGGGGGAGCCTGCTGAGAATGAGGTCTGCTGCTAAATTAGCCCACTCCTCTCCCCGTCCCAGAGGTGCGCCATCACGGAGGGGCTGACGACTGCTCTGGAACTGTACTGCTAAGACAGTTTATTCCACAACATGTGTGGGGGCTATCAGAGCGTTTATGCTAAAGCGCTGTGTAGAGGTGTAGCTAATGCTCTGGGCAGGAAACATTTAAGCCACGGTCTCAGGAATTTATAAATGAATGACTGCATCTCATACTCAAACCAGCTTTGAAAGTGAGCTAAAACATTTTAGTACCTGTTAAAGCTTGAACTGTGTACCTCCTGCCCGCCAAAACAAAACTGTATCAGAGCCCTAAGCCCTGCTCACTCTCTTTCCTCGTCCTTCAGAATGTGGTCTTATTTGAAATGGCGTCTTTACAGAGGTATTCAAGTTAAAATGAGGTCACTAGGGTGGACCCTTGTCCCATACGACTGTTGTCCTTAATAAGAGGGGAAGTCTGGACACAGAGACACACAGGGACAATGCCATGTGAAGGTGGGAGCACAGACCAGGGTGACGGATCTAGCAGCCAAGGAACACCAAAGACTGCCAGCAAATGACCAGGAGTTCAGAAGGCATGGAATGAATTCTCCCCCACAGTCCTCAGAAGGGCCCATCTGTGACTACACCCCACCTTGGACGTCTGTCCTCCAGAGCGGTGAGACAATGCACCTCCATCGTGTAACCTGCCTGGTTGTGGCATTTCATTCTGGCAGCCCCAGGAAATGCATACAGTACTCTAAATAAAAAATCAGACCTGGTGAAGGAAATCAGCATGGCCCCCAAGTAGTGTTTTGGGAAGTAGCTCTTTCAAAGGAGAGTGCCCACGAGTGGCAAAGCACAGGCTGCTGGCACCTGGGAAGAACTGAGATGTTGGCACTTACAGATGCCCCAGGCCAAAAGAGCAGGTGGCTGGGGCTAAGACACGCGGGGTCCTGCCCCACAGGATACCTTGGACTTTAACCGAAACTGGGGACCGCCAAGGTAAGTGACTCAGAAATGTCTCCTCGCCGTCCATGCTGTCTCCCTTCAGTGGGCGGGAACTCCGGTGGGACCCCTCACGAGTCCCAATTGGCTCCCCCTTTGACAGAAGACATGTCCCCGGCACCTGCCACCATATCTTCTGTCCAGGGAGCCAGGAGAGCTCATTTGTGGATATCGGCGCTTAGTGTGTCTGCTCACCTGTGCACTCCGACGCCCAAGTGAACAGCTCTGCACCCCACGGCTCCCCCAGTAACTCGGCTAATAGACTGTTCTGTTCACCTGTCTGCCTGCGTGCTTCCTGTCAGGCACAGAAAGGGCAGATCGGAGATCTCCACGGACCCTGGGCTCACTGGCTTGTGGAGGCTGCAGCCCACACCCCATCGAATATATGAAAAAGCCTGTCTACTCTCAAGTGCAATACAATCCTTTTCTGTAAAAACTACCTGAAAGGCTTTTCATTCTTTTGCTTTTAAAAATATTTGGTGAGGGTAACAATTAATTTATGAGTGGCTTCGATTTCTCAGCGATCATTAGTCGTAGTCTCGAGTTGCATCAAAGTGAAAACAGTGGCTCTAGCGACTGTTTCCAAACACAGGCACGTTTTCATGGATGCTGAGGGCTGTCACATGGTTACACCGCGCAAACGTTTGGGATGCAGCCCGGCAGAGAGTCCGGAGTCAAGGCCTGGCTCCGTGCTTGGAGGCTGTGTGAGCGTGGAAAGGTTTCTGCACATCTGAGTTTCTTCCCCTGTAAAATGGGGCTTAATGATGCCACTGGGAGACAGTGTTAATAACTGTGAGGGTGTTTGATGCCCATACCAAATGCCCAATATGTATTTGCTAGTGCTGTGTAATTGAAATTGAGCTCTGATTGGGCAGAGTCCTTCTGTTTTCAAGTGCCTGCAGGTCCAAGCCCCAGGCTTGCCGGGCTCTGTGCATAAAATGGTCCTGGGTTTGGCTGCTGGTTGTGGCCCCTAATGCAGGGCCCACAGATCCACTCTGCCAGGATGCTTGGGTGCCATTGACAGGACAGGCTTGCAAAAGCAGACCAGCATGGAAAATAGGCCCTGGTCTTCTTGCCTGATAATAAAGCACCGGTCAGTGAACAGTGACTATTTGCCAGTCCCTTTGTGAAGGGTTATATGCGTTACCTTCAAGCTTTAAATGAACCCCCTCTTTCTAAATGAGAAAAGGCTGAAAAAACTTTAGCACAAGCTCAAGAACATACAGTTAGGGCTTGCCAGGGCTTGGAAATCTGGAATAATTGCTCTCCCACTAAATCTATTAGCCTAACTGCCAGGAGAAATAGGGAAATTAATGGAACTATTAGCCACCTCAGGAATTATTTTAAAAGGTAAATGAGACAAACGATAGCGTGTAGAGAGCACTCGCCAAACAGTAGATGACATTATTGCTATCTCCACCTATTCCCTTTACTACCAAATAATTGTATGTACAGATCTTACTGAGTGCCGGGCGCTGCTCCCATAAGAACTGTAGAAATATCAATTCATTTATGCCTGACTTGCTTGAGTCTAAGTACTGCTGCCACCCATCTTTATGGATGGACAAAACAAGCCACAGAAAAGGGGAGCAACCACTAAGAGATTAAATTCACCTGTCCAACAGTGCAGGGCAGAATTTAAACCCTGGACCTTGCGTCCCAGAGACCTTGCCCTTCACCACCACACTGGCTGCCTCTCACAAGGCTTGTCCCTGAAGTGATGTACCTGGTAAAAACAGGAGCCACAGAGACTTTGACATTTTGTCTTTGTTTATAACATATCGAATCCACCTTCTTGATCCTCCGAGCCCAGAAAGGAGGTTGGGCAAGACCAGGAGAAGACTCTAGTTGAAACTTAAGATTAGGGGTAGGAGCATGAGCTTAGAGGGGGCAGGGCTGGTCATGGAGCAGGAGAGCCCTCCCTGGGCTCTGCAGCCTCCAGCTCCCACTGGGACACCCCTCTGACAGCTGGTGCGGCTGAGTGCACCCCTCTCTCGTGGTGCAGGCTGGCAAATCTGCCTTGACAGGGAAGAGCAGCTCAGGACTTGCCTTTTCTCCTTTCCCCACCTTGGTTGGCCCAGGAGGGCCATTTGATGGGCCCTCCCATCGAATAATGAGCCTCCCATCGAGTGATGAGCCTCCCATCGAGTCTGGGGGGCTCGCAGTTCTTGGGTCTTTTGGCCCAGTTAATTTATAGCTTCAGACGCACCCAGCGTGACCCAAATGGCCCAGTGCAGACCAAACCACCAGGTACCGCTGGAGCACTACCCTGAGTGAGTTAATGCCAACCCCAAGACAAACTCCAGACCATAAGACATCTGAGAATCACCCCATCATCTCTCTTTAAAAAGTATCTGAGCATAGTTAGAATGTCAGAGACATGTCACTGTATCCCAGCAGATAGACTATTCAAGAAATTGAGGCTAATGTGTACAGATGCTGGGAAGACCCATCAGAGGAGCACTCTGATGCTGACTCAACCACAGGCACAGGTGCTGACAGCAGCTGCTAAACGAAGGCAGCGGCTCAGCCTTTCCGCTCAGCTCCGCCGGGTGGCGGCTAGAAACCGGCTCCCTGCGTGCTATCAGTAACCACACATGGCTGTGTTGGGACAACAGGCACAAGTGCTTGTCGCATCATGTCAACATTTTGGTCTTTGTCCCCCATTAAGTCACATAACTTTGCTCCCCACTAAAGTGAACGCACATAAAAAGAACTCCTCAGCCAAATAGGTAACTGCAGGTCTTTTAAAAAGCATGAAGCCTCTAGCAATGACTAACTTCTACATGGCAAAAATTATTAACTGCTTCCAATGCAGTCCAAACATTTCTGGTAAACAGATTTAATGGACCAGTCACAATACGCTATTCTGCCTTATTTCAACAACACTGTAATTTACAGTAATCGGTCCGGGTTGGCGGAGGACTAACAGGCCACCAGAGGCTGTCATTGTATCCTCCGGGGAACAGCAAGGGGAATGTGCTGGGCTATTGCTGACATGCACATACATCAGTGCGCTTATCAGTAGTATGGCTGTTAGTCTGTCTTTGACCTGTGTACCTTTGTCTTCTCTTTCCTTTTCTTTTTTTTGGTCCTATCTCTCCAGTTGATAGGAAGCTCTTATAGTACAAGGAGCCTATGTGCCATTTAAAAAAATTCACCTCTATAACCAGAGCGCATTCTGAACAGGATTAGAGGCTAAGTAAACCTATACTGTGACTATGAGCTAGTGAAACAGTTTTAGAAATAAGGTTATCAAAGTAGCTACATTCAGATGAGTGCTTTCTGTTTGCAATCGGTTATCTTCTGAGACAGAGCCTTTGCTTATACAAGTTTTCAAATTCCTCTTTAGATAATACTTTCAGAGTACCTTTATAAGCAATGAAAAATAATCTTGTTTACTTATAATCAAATGTCACTTTTTAAAATCCTCACCCAAGGACATACTTATTGGTTTCTAGAGAGAGGGGGAGAGAAGGAGAGGAACAACCACGTGAGAGAGGAAACATAGATCCGTTCATTGCCTCTTGTACACGCCCCTGACCAGGAACTGAACCCACAACCCAGGCATGTGCTCTAAGGACCGAACCCATGACCTTCAGTTTGTGGGATGACACTCTAATCAACTGAGTCACACTGGCCAGGGCAATCAAATAAACGAAAAGGTTTTACCCAAGTTGGTCCCATTACTTCGTATCCATCAGACTTAGTTCTAACAGTTTTCTGAGGCATTCTCCTAAATCAAATGTTTTCCCTTTCTCCAAAGGCGAGTTCTCAGAGGAGCTCCTCAGACACCCTGGTCAAGGTGATGTTACTATGAAAAGTGTGCTTCCTAAGGAAGCTCACAGGAAGTCAGCAAACATCCATAAATTTTGCCCCATTAGTTTTTTAAAAAGCATTTGTTTCCTAGTCATTCCTTAGGTCACAGACTGAAATGTGCATAACAGACTCCAGAGCCCTTGGACGTACAAGGGTTCTACTTCTACAGACTCCAGGAGCACAGACCTTGATCGTTCCTGGTTCCGTGGTGACCCAAAGAACATGGAAGCCTGGGAGTTTTCGTGACCTAGCTCACTAACTTTTAGTTACACTCAGCGAGTTAGATCAGCTTAATTTTGGGGAAACACAAAACATATTTAAATTTATGTGGCTGATAACAGCAATACCCTAAGCCTTGGTCAGGGGTGGCCTTAACACGTATTAAAAAGACGGAGCTTGGAGAGCTCCCTGCAAGTATTAGTGTGCTGCCCGTCATTCCACCGTGAGAGCAACGCCCCTTTGGTTTCACTTCACTATGGTAGCTCCAGTGAAACACAACTGCCGGTGAAGGTTTGACACACTGGCTGTTGGGTTGGGCAGGGGGCTCTGATTTGCTACCGATGGATGAACAACAGGCCAAGAAATATCCTGATGATTTCATCAACACTGGCAGGCATCTGACTATTGGACAAGTGCAAGGCAGATCCTGTAAGAATGGAAAACAAGCAAGATGTAATACTGGGTGGAAAACTCAGGAAACGGGCCGGCGGGGCTCGATGCTGGCCATTGTGCCATTTTCTCTAGGGTCACTTTGGACTGGTTGATGACAAGGAATGGGAGGGGCTGATGAATCCTAAAACATGCCGGTTTCCCCTTTAACCCCCGAGCTCACCTCACTCCAGTTGCCTACTGTCCAGTCCGACGGACACAAGACGTCTCTGTTGCAGGAAACGAGGGGCTTGGGCTTCAGCAGATGCTGGCAGTCTTTAGCCGGCAGAGCCTGCTCGTCGGAGCCCATGGTCTGGATGCACAGCACTGTTCGCGTCTTCTCTCCGTGGGGCCCGCACGTTGCCGAACACGCTTCCCACTCCCCGGCCCACCACCTGCAGATACACAGGGTCCTGTGAGAGAAGGTCACCCAAAACTCCCAATACACACTGAAAAGAGAAACCAGGTACAAAAGTGCAGGTGACGGAGCGAGGATGTAAAGCAAATTTCAGAGAAGGCAGTAGGGAGAAGAGACTCACATGACCTCTTTCTGGAGTCAGGTACACTTTAACTGCGAAGAATTTATTTGTCGACAGGCTGCTCCATCCTGGAAGCCACTGACCATGTAACACATATGTCTTATATTAGGAGTATCAGAATGTTTTATTACTTGTAGATGCTCAGAACCTTTAAAAGATCTCTCTTAAATACTCAGCTGGGAAAGAACACAGAATGTCCAAATTTGATGTACAAAAATTAGTGCTGAAGGACAATACCCATAAATAAATAAGATTAAGTCTTGCCTATGAAATCACTTCGGGAGGGGGAAATAACTCTGAATGATGTGTATGAACTTTTCAGATATTCTATTATGAAAGTTCAGTGACAGAGGAGGATGTTGCAACTTCAAATTCATATCCAAGGACAGCACTCAACTAAGTTTGCAAAAGCAAATAATAGCAACTAAGTAATCAACATTCATTTACTCATTTATTCTTAATAAAGCAAATTCATTTAATTTCTTATCTTTAATTCCTTTGTGAACTTGCATGCATAATTTAGCTTTAGAGTCAGATCTTCTTGCTTGTTTATATCATTTTCATTGTGTTTTAATGTGTGAGAAATATTTTCTATTTGGGGTTCTGGTTTTAGCATAAGAACCTGTCCATCCTGAGAGCCTGGGCAGCAGCAAGATGTGGCAGCACCAGCGCGGACTTCTCAGTGGACACAGCTGGGTTCAAGTCCAGACTCTACCACCGTGGCTAACTGACCTGGAAATTTTTTGTGTAGCCTCCAGTGTCCTCATCTATACAATGCTATAAAAAAACCAAACAGAGCTGCTAACAAGAATAAATGATGTGGTAACAGAAAGGATTAAAGAAGAGTGGGTTCTCAATATGTTTGCAACTTTTTGGGGTAAATACACTCCTTGGTATTGACCCAAAGGAGTTGCAAACGTATGTCCACACAAAATCTGCATGCAGATGTTTATAGCAACCTCATTCATTGGTGCCAAGACCTGGAATCAACCAAGACATCCTTCCTTAGGTGACTGGATCAACTGTGTTCTGTTTAGACGATGGCAATGTCTAAAAAACGTCAACACTAAAAAACGAGCTATCAAGCCTGAAATGCATATTACTAAGTGAAAGGCTACATACTATATGATTCCAATACAGACATTCTAGAAAAGGCGAAACTATAGAGACGGTAAAAAGATCAATGGTTGCCAGAAGTTGGGAGTGGGGGAGATGGAGAGGCAGAGCACAGAGGATTGTCAGGGCAGGAAAGTGCTCTGTATGATATTATAGGGATGAATATTTGTCATTCATTATGCATCTGTCCAAGCACATGGAATGTTCACCAAGGGTGAACCCTAAGGTAAGCTACGGACTTGGGGTGATCATGACATGTTGATATAGATTCATAAATAAAACAAGAAAGACAGGAAGTTAGGAAGAAAGAAAGGAAGGGAGAAAGGAAGGGAGGGAGGAGAGGTTGGTTGGCTCTTAAAAACTATTATTTTCCTCTCTATCCCTTTACCCTAGGACATGACACCAATTTCTCTGAAACTGTATCTCCTCATATACCACCTGGGGGAACTATCCACCCTCTACCCAGACTGTTTCATAAATATTTTGGGAAGCTACAATTTAATCATAAATAAGGACTTTTCTAAGCTAACCTGATGTCAGAGTATTTCATGGAATTCTGTTTAGCTCACCATATCCTACTTCAGAAGAAATTGTTGGGGGATAGGGTGGGCTGCTTCCCTCCCTTGAAGCGCAATGATGTGAAATGGTAGAAGTGTCAAAATGAGCACCAGGAAGCCTGGGCGCTGGATGCCACATCGGGCTGGCTGGATGCACAGTGGTGGTCGGTAGCCCAGCACCTCCTGCATGTGGCCATCGGTACTTCCATTCTACCTGCCAGGCTCCACAGCAACTGTACGTGTGTGTGTTGGGCGGGGGAGGATGGGGCTGTGTGGTAGGTGCATTTCAAAATTTTGCTCTGAATTCACAAGCTGTGTCATGAACTCAGCTAAACAAGCATTCCGGAGGAGGGGAAGAATGCATCACTGACCTTGTTCTAACAGTGCTGTCTTAGAACTGAGAAATCAAGAGATGTCAGGTAACCACAAAGCCCCAAGGAGGGCAAGGACCACGTGGGCAGGGACTAGGGGGCAGGGCACCGGGCCAGGCATCCAGACTCATGGCTGCCCACCGCAGCCTTGACAACTACAGCTCCGTCTTGCTGATGTATTATGTATAACCTTCCTGGCAGTAAGTTTCCTTAGGAAGTGACATATGTGTGCTATTCAAAAAAAATCCTTTGCCACATGCCTTAAGAAAGCCCTGATCACATGGTTTTCCAAGTTTCGGGGCCTCTGGAATCTGGTGGCAGGTTCTTCTCTGCCCTTGCCCTGCTTTATGTCTTGTTTGCACTCAGCTGCCTGTCTTAATTTCCGTAACAAACTTGGAAGTTCAAAGCGACAGAAATCTAGTTTCTTAAAGTTCTGGAGGCCAGACATCCGAAATCAGCATCACTGGGATGCGATCACAGCACAGGCAGGCGGCACTCTCTTTGGATGCCCCAGGGAGGAGCTGTGCCTGGCCTCGCTCAGTCTGGGTGGCTGCCAGCATCCCTTGGCTTGTGCTGTCTCACATCCATCTAGTGTCTTCAACTCTCTCTCTGCTGCATCTTTGTATTGCCTTCTCGTGCATGTGTTTATGTGGGTCGAGACCCTTAATCACATCTGCAAAGACCCTTTTTCCAAATAAGGTAACATTTGCAGGCTCCAGGGAACAGGATGCGGCTATCTTTGAACCAGTTTTCAGTTACCACATGACCACATTCAGGGCCAATTTCAAGTCCAGAGGGCTGAAAGTAATTCTTGATAAAGAATTACTTTATCGAGGTCCCTCCTCTGAGTTTACAGGGGTTCATCCTCGGCTCATTTTCTGTTCTCTGGACTCTTGCCACAATATCCATCTTCTTCTTGCCCTGCTTGTATCTTATTATAGGGTGATCTCCAACCAGAAAGCTCTGGTAACAGAAGTAGGTAGAGATCACCACCCTTCTGGATAGAGAATTCTGGAAACAGGGAAACCAAGCTTTTAGTTACAGGTGAATAACAAAATGTCAGCTATGGATTGATGTTTATTATAAAACACAGAGCCGATACCGAATCCACAATCTATGTACACAGTCAACATCCCCAGTTCTACCTTGGCCTCAGCAAATGAGTGTCTGCATCAGAATTTGCTGGTCCCCACCACACCGAGCGCTGTGCTGGCCTTGCTTTGGACCAGCGCAAATGAGAGGGGTGGTACCAGCCTCTCTGAGTCTGCCGCATGCAGACGCGCAGCAGACTTATAGCTAGACAGCCTTGGATTCGAACCTCTGCCATCGACTGGCTGCACGATACTGAATGAGGTAATGAACCTTCCTCCTCCCTCTGTAAAATGGGCCCAATAATAGTTATTTATCCAAGTAGTTGAGAACAGAAGGAGAATATATCAGCATCTCTAAAACACTGCCAAGAGTGAAGTAGGTGCCAAAAAACCCCTACTGTTTACTTCTCGTCTACTTGTACAGTACTGCTGCTGTGACTGGCAGAGCAGCAGGCTGTCCAGTAGCTCTAAGAAATGTTCGTGGTCCCGGCTGACTCTTCCCCAAGAAGGAGCCCCAGAAACCGCAAGGGTGCACACAGCCTAGCGCTGGCCTAACCCCGGAGCGCCTAGTTGTTCCCAGGAGAGGTCCAGAGAGGCGGGGAGGTGGCCGCACCTCTGTCCTGCCTCGACAGAGGCCAGCCAGCTGTGCCCCCAGCCCCCCTCTTCCCTACAGGAACCCAGGGACCTTGGGAGAGACCAGGCCTCTGACTCGGAGGTGAGACCGCCTGGCCCCTGGGTCCTTCCTGTTTGAACCTACAAGATGCTGACATGGCTTGTCTTCCCTGGCTTGTCTGGGTTCTTCATTTCTTTATCTAGTTCTTTGGCATTTATCACACTCACCTAGCTCTTGTTCAGAATTTAGCCTGTCATTTGATTTGTTATGCCAAGTAGTCACCTCCTGTTAAACTAAACTCTTGGTGTGTCTTCTTAGGACTGCAATGAATGCCTGACAGAATCTATGACCTAAATACAACCCCTGTTTAAGGTCACTAGAGAATGAATATACCAGAATCCGTCCTTCCATCCCTTGTCCTTCCTTCCTTCCCACTCCCTCTTCCTCTCTCTCTTTAAATACAAACACCTCATAATAACATCCAAGCTACCTTCTAGGATCCCAATATCTTCAACCAATAAGATTAGCAGCGAATGGATACCTCTGTTACAGTGGTTCCAACCAAGGGTGGCTTTGTGCCCCAGGAGACATTTGGAGACGTTCTCATTGTCACAACCTGGATTGGGGGGGGGCGCAGGGCGGGGGGCGGGGGCAGGGAGCTACTAAGCTCTAAATAGCTACAGCCCAGGAACACTGTTAAACATCCTGTAATGCAAAGACAGACCCTGCATATGACAAAGAATTATCCGGCCCCAAGTAAAATGTGCTGAGGTTAAGAAAGCCCGGCTGGTAAGTCTACCCTTCCAACAGCCTTTGGGACGAGTGGGCACTGGGATCTGCAGTGTCCAGGAGTTGCCTGCAGGTGGCTGTCACACGGGTAAAGTGCTCCCAGGAAAGCCAAACCCAGTGACTGAAGAACCTTTGGGTGATCTATGTGGCATTGTCTTCAACAATGCTTCGAGGCATAGTCTTACTAAATAATCAAACACACAACACACCAGCTTTGTCTCATAAGAAACGCTGCTCTCTGGGAGGAAAACGTCCCCCCTTAACAGCTTGCCAGAGGCTCCCATAGCACAGCCCCAGACGCCCAGAGGAGCTTTCCTGCCCTTATTCTAAGAACAAAGCCCCAGGCTCCCTCTTTATCGCTGAGCGATGGCTACCATTAAATCCGACAGCATCCGGGGAAGCCACACAGAGCTCCAGCCGCTGTCACTGCTTACCTGGGGGGACAGTCCTTCTCATGGCACTTCTTCTGTCTCCCATTGGGCTGTGTTTCCGGGTCACAGAATGTAGCTTTCACCATGCCATGGCCCTTCCTCACGCAGTGGGCAGTCTGGCGGCGGACACCTGGGGGTCGGGCAGAAAGGTTCACACACACTGAATCCTGAGTCCACGTGTTTGCTGTCAGTCCCCTGGTCATGTCAAGAGATCATGCTTATAGCTGATGGGAGAGTTGTCTGTATTTGGTTCTTAAAGTAGCAGCGAGAACTGGGGACCTCTTGTTACCCATATTTAGGCTGCAATTGGCAATGGGTGGAAGGGCCACTGATAACATATGTAGACTAACATACACCCTAATATTCAGGTTACGGTCTAGCTGTGGAAATGAGACTATCGCACATCTGCCAAATAAAAAACAAAGTGAGATTTAAATAAGGGACACATCCGTCCCCAGGCATCACAGCGCGATTGCCACACCATTAGTTTAGGAAAGGAACAGAGGAGTAGGGACCTTTCTATTAGCTGGGGTTCATAAACTCTGGGAGACAGGAATAAAATTCAAAATAATGTTGTGAAGTTTCAGAGGTTATGTTTGTCAAGCAGAGGGTTTTAATGATACTGCTGCCTTTGGAGACCAGGTCGGTAACATGAATACGAGAAGCGGGGGTGGCAGGCAAAGCACACTCATCTGTGGGCTGGACTTGACTTTGGATATACAATAGGAGCTAACTCAGGCAGTGTTTGCCTTGTCCTGGGCACAGTTGTAAACCACGGGTGTGTGTCTTAGACAAACATAAACATATACAAAATGTACTACCCATTACCTGTTACAATATACAACTAAAACCCCACAACTACCCAATGAGGTCAATACTCTCATTATCACTCTCTGACAGCTGAAGAAACTGAGTCACAGTGAAGTCCTGTAGTTTGGAAGAGGAGAAGGACCACTGGCTTTGCTAACTAGGACGTCAATAGCAAGAGAACTTGGAGGAGTGGCCAGTATGTCATCGACCGAAAGGTAAAGGGACAGTGAGGAAGAGAATCACCCATCATCCCTCTTGAGAGAGAGAACACTTCAATGTTGAATGTGAAACACAGGGCGAGGCGTCTGAAGACTGAGGCCCCAGGGGACAGAGCAATCAGCTTGCAGAGGCTGCCAGCCTGAGCTCTCAGGACGGTAGGCCGTGAGTGGTGGGCTCATTGTGCCCAAACAACAGAACTGGAAAGGCCGTGAGTGTACCAATAAGATGGCCACCCCCTTTATTTTGTCAAGGGCAGGGAGGGGCTCCCCCCAGCCACACCACCAACAGGACCCAGGCTGCAGCTGACCCTCCTTCACGAGGCACCTCGCCGTGCCTCCCGTGAACGTGGCCCACCCCAATCGCCCAGCTTGGCGCACACACTCCAAAACCTGTGAGGGAACCTCACCCTTGAAACACATCAGACGGAGCCACAGTTAAGTAGATCCTTTAAAGTGAATCAATGGCATGTGATTGTTAAATCAAACAGTATTTTGTTCTTTTTGAAAAGAGAGGTAACCTTTCAACCACATAGGCTTTCTGAACTGATACCTGATGTATTATTCTTCTTTTGTCGTGTAAATAAACACTTTCGACAGCTGGAAGCAACACTGTAAAGAGAATCGTCACGGTGCCACGTGTGAGTGGTTGTCGGGAAAGTCACGAACTCCTGGGGAGGAGTCGCAGACACTGTGAGCGGAGGAGATGGAGAAGGGCTGGAGCCAGCAAAGCTGACATGGCTCTGTCACTGTCGCATAGGAAAAGAAAAAGCTCATAGGCTTAGAAGCTTTATCAGAACTTTTGGGAGTTTGGCAAATTCTAGATGTCAGAAAATCAAAGGAAACGATGAGGTGACTCTAACGGTTTGGAAACACCCCCAAAGGCTTATTTCTGTGCCCAAATAACAAGGAGAAGAGTGTTGGGGACTCCTGATGGCAGAAGTAGAAAAGGGCACAAGACGTTAAGTAAACCCCCCTGAAGAACATGTTAATGACATTGCCTGGGTCAAGCCACCGGCCCAGCAGTGAGATGAACAGGGGGACTGGCCAGGCGGAGACTGTGGACTGCACAATGGGAAACTAACAAGGGTGTGTCCGTTTCTCCATGGGCATTAATGGTCCTGGTGACCAGTAACCTTCTGGCCTCCTAGCCCTTGAGTTCTCACATGAAAGATACAAAGCTAAGCCCAAATTCTCCATGAGGCCCCCCAACCCAATGGCCTGACTCCTCCCACGTTACAGGAAGACAATAGCTGGCCAGAGGCGTCTTCCTCAATGCTAGTGCTTGTGGGTTCACTCGGTAAAATGTAATCTATAATTCCGTTCCATAACACTTTCTGGTTAAATAAATACAACAAATAAGTAGAATCCAAGGGTGCTGGGTTTTAGTCTCTGCTTTTCATTCTACACATCATTTAACTAACTGTAAGAAAATGACAAAGATATTCAGAAACTGTTTGAGGGAAGGAAGCTGATTCCTGGAAGTGTCTTTGGCATTTTAAAATCTGTAATTCATGAAGGAACACCAAAGTTAAAGTTCAATCACTGGAAACTTTAGATTAAAGGATTCTAGTTAATATAGTTGTACAGTTTACCTAGAATATAGTTGGTAGCAACTGTCAGAATGGTTTAAAAGTACGTTAATTCATATTGCCTCAGTGGCAAGCCATAGTTTCCAATGATGGCTGTAACAACAATCTGTCTCCCAGCCAGACCTTTCCACAATGTGACCATGCCATCCCTCCTTCCAGACAGGGGCGACTAGCTACCCTGTCCTTGAACCGATGGCGGGGGTGAGGCTGTGTGAGCTCAGAGGACAGGTCATAAAGGGCCATGCAGCTTCCGTCTGATTCCAGAGGCTCTCTCACTCTTAGGATGCTCCAGCTAAGGTATAAAAAGCCTGCACCCTGAGAGAGGCCAGGTATAGGCACCCCAGTTGACAGTTCAAGATGAGCCCCGCCTTTGAATCATCAGCCCAGGTGCCAGTCACATGAGTGAAGAAGGCTCCCAGTGATTCCGGACCCCAGGTATCAGAGGTGCCCCCAGGCATCAGGGGCGCCCCCAGCTATGTGAGCCTTCCTAGCCAAGGGGCAAACATCAAGCTGCAGAGACACGCCATCCCCCCTGTGCCCCATCTGAATTTCTGGCCTACAGAATTCAGCACTATAAAATGCACTATAAAATGATGGTTGTTTTATTACACTACATTTAGGTTGGTTTGGTAAATAGCAGTAGTAACTGGAACAGCAGTCAGTAAAGGCTAGATGTCTTCCTTTCTCGAGTCAGGAGGACCCAGAGCTGCAATCCAGGTTGGCTTGCTGGGAGTCTAACCACTACTGATTTTACTGATGTTTCACCTCCTCTTCTTCTGTGTTATATTTTTGCTGTTTGTCCCTCCAGATCCACTCTGCCCCTGCTCTGAACCCCAGGAAGCTGATCTTATGGATCGCTATGGTTTCTACTTGGGTTTGGGAAATGAAGACTCCATCTCTTTGGAGAAATGCTCCTTTCCCTTACTTTTTCAGGCCAGGGATGGGAGCCTCACTTGATCCACCCTCGAATGTTAATAGGCAGGGGTAATGAACTACCCTTCTCTGTTTCCCTAACCCTACCCATACCTCTGAAAGTAGCCAAGGGATTCAGCTGTGGTGTGCTATATTTTTCCTGCAGAGAACTTGGACTGATGTCTCTTTGGCAGTAAAAAATCGCAAACATTCATCTTGAGTGCCATACTCATTAATTTACTCTGTAAACCAGTTGCTAGAATAACAAAATGTTCTCTTGACATAGGGTATTATAACACTGCCTGGGAAGGGGTTAGAATCAAGTTATCTTTTTAAGAGCAGCAATCATGAAGTAACATTGCAAATGGAGGAAGCACAAAAGATTAGGTTGAGTTGCTATAACTTTGACCTCTTCCTGGAAATCAAAGAAAGAAAGATAATATTGGCTTTTAATTTGGCTTGCCTTTTATCACTTTCTCTTATACACAGAACACAGCCAAAAGAGAAATTTTGGTTAATTAAAGATGCCAGTCAATCAACGTGTTGTCTTAGCACTAAGTGAGCTGCCTACCTGGAAGTATTCCCTTGAAAATGGTATTAAGTGTAAATCAATCACATTCCAAAATATATGGGAAATTCAACATGTGATTCTTATAGGATTCTGAGCTTCTCCGTGTAGCAACGAGAATATCACCGTGTAGCTATAAATTCTGAGAAAATTTCCTTGGATACTAGAAGCAAAAGATCAATTAAGAGTTTTTACTTTTAAGAACTATCTTCCCATACTGCTAAGCTTGATGGTGTTGAGTGGAAATTCTGCCTTGACATAAGAGAAAGTTCCTTATATCCAAGGAAAACAATGAACAATGGCATAGCTCTTCATATTCCCAACCAAATATTGGGACTTGAAAACAGAGGTAGCCTATTATATAATTAATGTACTTCATATTACGAATATCCTTATCAAAAAATTGTTTAGGAAGGGTATGGAAAAAAACAACAGAAGACTTAGCTTACTGTAATGACCTGTGGCGAGAAATTGCAGTATTTCCTATTATATCCAAAGATCAAAGATACTCAAAGCACTGAATATTTAATCATATCATATGAAAGAGATTCTAAGTACTGCAGCTCAGTCTTTAACATACTGACAAAGAACATGATATCCTTCTTTATAACCCCTTACGTGAGCATAAATAAAGCAGTACAAGTTACATTTTACATTAGCACATAAGTTATAATGTTGAAAATTTGTAATATCTAAAAATATACCCTAAAACTAGGTGTCACGTTGATTTTAATAATGTAATAGTTCTGTGAATCAGTAGAGGGCACTGTCACTACAATCACCCTAATGATACAGAAGTGACATTCACTGTAGAAAAAAAAGGGAGGAGTAGGGATTGTTAACCGACTGTCTTCTTGGCAAATCCATCCTGACTCTACCAACTTGCAATGTCAGTTTTAAGTACTGACCTTGTTAAGTCTGGCTCCTTGACCCCTTCCCTTCGTCTTTGATTTTCTTGATCAGTGAATTTTCAGATCTAACCTTCATACTAAAGGCTTAGTGAAAGAAAATGGGGGTCTCATCACTACAAGAG